AAAGACAAAATGCGGACGGGGGAGACGACAAAAAGGGCGGTGAGGCATGCAACCGCAAGAAGAACAAGAAGAGGGCAGGGAGTAAACGGTTTTCGAGCCAGTACAGACGCGGGCAAACAGCCAGATGCATGACATATGAGCGAGAATTAAATGGGAACGAATCGAAGGTCAGGTCAACCGAGTACATCACGGGCCCATCTCTCAGCCCCGAGACACAGAAAGAAGGATAGGAGACCATAGAAGAGGGTCCGAAATGAGAAGAGGAAACAACGACATGCTCACTAGCTAGCCCTAGTATTGGGACCTGCAAACGAACAGAACGGATGCAGAGGCAGAGGCGGCTGCAGGAGTAGCAGTAGTGAGCATATTGAGTTATCCTTTGTCGTACGGATGATATCTGCTAAGCTTCAGATACGGCAATACATTGGAGGGGCTGATTTGATGCTTGGAGGCTGGATGCTTTTAGCGACGGAGCAAGCTAGTCTTACAGCCCTGCCGTAGGAAGAATGGCATTGAGGCCGGCGAGAATGTTTCTGGCGCTGTTGTGTGAGGCGAGATTTTATGAAGGGGGGGTAGAAACGAAAGGATGCCGCATCAATGGTGGGGATATTCCAACTCTGGCGGAAAGAAGAGACGACAAGAACGAGCCACAACATAGGACTGTGAGAAAAAGGACGTCGCGGTGCTACACAAATCTTACTGCAGGTTGCCAAAGGCGAAAGAAGGCAAAAGGGAAGAAAGAAATGGGAAGGGGGGACGATGTAAGGAGGCACTGGGGAAGAGAAGCGCAGAAGACGGAGGCTGACCAGGCCACCGCAGGAAGAGCATTTCCTGCCAAGACGCCGCCGTCTGACGCCAGTGGCCGGCCCAGGCCCGCGCCCGCGCCTTCACTCGCGACATACCGAGACTGGATGGCAAGGCTATGTTGTTGCGTGCCCAAGCTTGCCGATTCCAACGCCAACCTGACTATGACAGAATGAGTTCGGCTCCTGACAGATCGTTTGACTCGTCTGTCACCTCTCGTTCGACGAGATGCTCTTCAGCCCAAATGTGTTGGGCCCCTGACCCACGATGCCGTGCTTCACAGTCAGCAGCTTCGCCACGGCCCTCGACTCCTCCTTGCCGTACTGTGTCTGACCCTCCCGTTTTGCCTATTTTCATACCAAGTTCTCTTCAAAAGTGTCCCTTTCGACGGTTGCTACACAACCTTCTTCGTACGTGCCTCTTGTGAATTTACCCGGAGGCAAGACGCCGCCTTAAATGGCCGCAATCAAACCGCCCGCTGCGTCTTGACGCCACCCACCCCATAAGACACTCTAGATGGAGCGGGTTCCAGGAACATCCATACAAATAAAAGCAATGCACAATAAACACATCCACAGCCAATAGCACACCCTAGCGGTATTGGCGGAGTGCAATTAATAAGGAGGAAGGCGACGATCCTTTCCATCGTGGCTCATTCTCTCTTTTCTATCAGTCCGGAGGATGACCCCAGAGCATTTATGGTCCCAGCACTCATGTCCTGCGTAGTTGGCCGTATTTTGTCCATGGTTTTGGTAGGCTCGGTGATCTCTAACAGATGTGAGATGAAGTCCCAGGTAAAAGATTGGCTACAGTGTCGGTCCAGTTCGTCTCAAGCAAGACAAGGCCAACAAGCACACAAACCACACGGCCTACGAGTTCCGTCCCCATCTAGACCGATGCCAAGCCTTGTGTCACCTTCTGCTTGACCATTTCTCCAGTCCCTGAGCCTGAGCTGGTGTTTCGTGCTATGTTCGTTCCCGTCGTTTGTTTTATTCTCCTCGGTTTGTCTATTCACTCAAATATGCCCTCGAACACATCTTCAAGATCTACGCCTTCTCTTACCAGTACACATCTCGCCAAGGCGTTGAAAGGAGACATAACAGCTGACAGACTCTACGTGTCATCCTGGCAGCACGACGTTCAAAGTCGGACAAGAGGAGAGACGGGCTTACACAAACGTACACAACCGCCGGCCCTGCTTTCTCGGGTATCTGCCAATTCTGACAAGCGTCCATGGCCACCACCAATGTGTGCCGCACATCACTACACCATCTTCTTGCCATCTCGTCCCGCCCCCTCGTCGCTCTCGACTCAACTTTTTAAATAAATCGAAAGCTTAAAATCTTCCGGCGAGTGGTGTTTATTAGCTTTTCGGCTGGACGGTTGTTTTCTTCGAAATATAGTTGATGTTACTTGAATCTAAGCTGGCTTTTTCCATTGTTTTGGGCGTGGTGCGCTTTTTCTTCTGTGTTTCCCCGTGCATCTTCCGCTCGACCTGCGAATTTGACTTGACAACAGCCCCTGTCTTGATTTTATCTGATATAAGTCCCCAACAAGAAGATTTACGTCTTTCACCGTATCTCTCCTGGCATTTCGTCTGGCTCCTCCGTCCTTCTTTATTTTTGTTCTACTCATCTCGTGTGCCACTTCCTACCGCATTCCTCGGATTTGTTCCCTTTTTACGAAAGTATGACATCGGGATATAGGCTTAAAGGCCAATGATCGAATCCCGTGCTATGGCGCATATGAGGCATCCATATTAAAATCGGCAGTCTTCGCTTGAGCATGTAGGGTTGCAGAAGTAACCTGTGGAAAGCGACACGCAAAATGACACACAATGACACACCAAAAAAAAAAAAAAAAAAAAAAAAAACAAGAGATGCAGGATAGAAGTACAACGTACGGACTAGGGCAGTTTGTGAATGATTGAGCTCGGGAATTAGAGGCACAAACAAAAGCGCGGCCTGGACGAGTAAAGTTTGCCAGCCGAACGTGCGTCGACAGATCTTCACCACGACCAGTGTCGCAGGAAGACGAGGGGACGTGAAACTTTTCTTGGCGCTTTGAAGCCACCGGCTCTTCTTTACGGACAGGGACGCCATAGGGCAATTTCTGTGGGCCAGGCCAGGCCGCTCCTGTCTGGGGTTTGCTGGCTCGCTGGCCAGGCCTTTGTGTCGACTCGATTTGCACAGCTTCGAACTGAGCCTGGACAAAGCAGAAAGAAGTCCACGTTATCGGCGCCGACCTTGGCTCCACCAACGCCCCTTTTTTGATCTAGCAAAACTCAACTCCCAAGTACAACCGAAACCACGGTCAGAACCCGGCGAACAAAACGGCTGTGCCAAACGCAAGTATTTGGCCAAGTGAGTTGTCTTTCCGTATGCCGCAGAGGACCAGAGGACCCTCTGAAAGGACGGCCTGTGTTTTGTGCCAGACAGCCTATTACCAGCCCATGTTCCGAGCCAATCAGGGGCGCTGAAGTGGACGGATTGACTCGAACAAGACCTTCGCACCTTATGGTGGCATTGCTCAGAAAAGACACAAGAAGGGAGGCTAAGACGGCGGCCCCTTCACTTGCCCAGGTCAATCACAGGCCGCCTTCAAACCCCGGTCCGAAACCCCAGCCAAGGTCTGTTCTTGTTGTTCCTGGAACTGGCCAGGCCCTTTTGTCAACTGGCAACCAGATCCTTCCTTTGCTTGCCCTCTTTGTCTGTCCAACAAACGAGATTTCACTGCACGCGGCACTGGCATTCGATCGTCAGCAGCTGTATCTCATCGCCAGAGGCACGAAAACGAGGGAGGACCGACTGAGAGAAACGCTAACTGAGAACGGAAAGTGCATCTGTGCTGATTCTGCCGCGTGGTCCCAAGTACATGTCAAGTCGGCTCCCCGGAAAACAGAGTTGGGCTTTCGAAATGCTTCGTATTGTAACGTACAGAGTGAGCACATAGTATATTGGCAACCTGTGCGTGGGCCCCCTTCAGTGCTGTCGTCTGTAGTCGATGGAGGACGCAGGAGGATTAAGGCAAAAGTGGTCCATTCTGTATTTTAACTGTCGCCCGGGACTACTCTCCAATTATCGTAGACGGGGGAATTGTAACCTCTCATTTTACATCTGTAAAGTCGTAACGCAAAATGTTTCCTTTCATCGCACGCATACCGGACTCTAGGAACCTTTCCCCAGAGACCTAGCGCGATTACTGCCCCTGGCTGTCCCCTGTTCTTGCCGTACGTCGTATTATTTCGCTGTTGTAAGTCTCGCCGTGACTTGAGCCATTTGGTCTTTCCCTGTTCGGCCAGTGCCTTTTTCGACTTCTTTCTGGGCCGGCGCCTCGTAGTTTAGGCTGGTTGGGCTGGCGCTGGCTGGGGCACTCGCCGCATCCCCCCTTTCCTTCTCACTGGTTCTTTTTACCCACGCATCTTTTCACTTCCTCGTCTCATCCTCCATTTCTCTCGTCATTGTCCCCATCCTTCGATTCGTCTCGCCTTGTCGTCTACGTTACTCTCAATCGCCCGTAGATCATCGCCATTTCACCCGACGACGCACTGTTTCCCAATCGCTCTTGGGATCCTACAAACGTTGACCGTTGCATCTTTTCTGTCTGTTGTTTGAACGTGAGGTGCTGCGTCTGAAGCATCACGACTGAACGCTGTGATCGGCTGAAACCGGCACGCCGAAGATCACAACTTGATACAGAACCGTCGATTGCACGCCGAGATATATCGCGCCGTTCGAACATCGTCGCATTCCATCGTCGCCTGGCTAATTCCTATTGCCATCTACTCACGGGACTCGATCGATCAAGCGTGCAACGACGGGCATTGCGTCGAGGACGCAATACTCCCCACGCAGGCGGATGCGAGCAACAGCCGGGCAGGCCGGCAGCGAGTCTCATCATCTTTTGCGGCTCTAGTCCGTGGCCGAACGTCTAGTAACCATGGATCGTTCCGAGAAGAAGACGTCTGAATTCGAGCGGAGGGCCTCGCGGCGCCTGTCCAGAGGAGTTTCTGTCGAAATTGACGCGGACACTCCCGATGTCGCGGACGACGACGCCTATCTAACCGCCATGGCTATGACCGTGTCAAATGGCTTTAGGCCTCACCAAGACTCCACTGCTACGTCAACAGGCACACCTCTTACTACCAACACGAATACTACGGACAGCCAAAAGTCTTCCGTGTCTGACGGGCCTCATCAAGACGACCACCTTTCGACGACAGCATCCGGCGCTGCGGCCTCTTCTACCTTCGTCGAAAGAGTCTTTTCCTCCTCATCACCCTCCTCCTCCTCCTCATCACCCTCCTCCTCCTCCTCCCCCTCCTCCTCCTCCTCCTCTGCCGCTCCTTCAGACTCTTCGTCTCCGTCAAATTCGTTCGCGACGACTTCGTCACAATTCTTCAGCGAATCAATTCTACCGCAACAGCCACAAGAATCTGCATCCTTGCCCACGCCTCCGCCTCCTACCCTCTCCTCTTTACCAAGATCTCTCACGTCTACCCGTCCATCTAGCATTGCGAAACCTCCAATTGGACACTCCCCGAGGTCAGTGCCTTCCGAAAGCGCCTCTAGTAGTAGCAACACCGGCCTTTTTGACAATGTTCGTGAGGGCGCCACGAGCAGTGTACCCCCGGTACATGAAGAAGAGCCTTACCAAGGCCCTTCAGGACCCTCTTTCCCTTACCAGATGTATCCTCAGAATGTACGCGTGGCTAGAACCCTGAGCGGTGCCACAACTTCTACTGTCGCACCATCCGATTCATCCTACTCTGGCCCCCGCGGTCCAACGTTTCCCTATGGCTTGTACCAGCAAAACACGATGGCCGGTCCAAGTGCCCTGCCAGCAACCGACATTCCCGTTGGATTCCCCAGTATGGCTGATAATTATCGACGTCGCATCGGTCCCGACGGCGAGGATGTTGCCGATCTAATTGGACCTGACGGTCATACTGAGCAGCTGCCGCCATACACGAGATATCCGGACGAAGCATACACTCGCAAGATTGCCGCCTCCAACGTACAACCACATTACGACCCACTAGCTGATCCACTGGCCGGCTCTGTAGCAACTGGACCAACAGCTCCAAATACAGTGCCAGTTGCAGTACCTGCAGCGGTGCAAGCCGCAGTGCCGGACCCAACTCATGTGCAACCTGTTACCTCATCGGGTGAAACAGCATCAACTTCCGCACATATTGCGGTACCTGCCCCCATACAACTTATCCCTGGCGCCGGGGGAATTGGGCTGGCTTCACGCAATCCAGAGTTTGATGGTGTGGAGGGCGCCGAGTCACCCCGCTCTCGGTACTCTTTGAGAAGCTTCACCACGGAGGGAAGTGGGCGCGAAATCAACACGGAAGCGCGGAATATAAGCGAGAAACGCAAGCACAAAGCTCCACACTTCGTTCAACGCTACGGCGGACGCCGCATCCTCGGCGTTATTCCCTACTGGGCTATCTGCCTCGTCATCACCGCCCTCTTATTGATGGGTATCGTTCTCGGCTCTGTCATTGGTACATTTGTGTCTAGACACAGACGGGCCCAAGAACTCCACCACTCGTAAGCTCAAACATCTCCAGACTCTTACCAAAGGTTTTCGTCTTGTGCTAGTATCACTCACAAAAGTGTTTTAGAAATAACAATGGTCCTGTTTCCGTCACCGTCACCGTCGATGCGACGCCGATTCCTACACCAACAAATCTCCCAGGCCTCCCAACTGGCACATTTGGACTGCCATTTCAAATCAATGAAAGCCCGGGCGCCTGCTTCAACGATACAACACAAGCCCAAGCATGGAAATGCGGTATTGCAAATCAATACAGCATGACCCTCACAGTCAATAGCCTGCCTTTGACCCCGGACGGACCCATGTACGATATCAGTATCCATTGCAACGAATCGGCCACATATGAGAATAACTTGTTTTTCTATGGCGAGCAGGCCCCTACAATCAAGTCACGGGCACCTTTGTTACTTGTTAATGACACCCTCGACCTGAATCGCGGACCAGCATGGTTCAAGATGATGCCGTACAACAAAACCGTCATTGTTCGCGAGAGCTTTTTGTCTGCTCCCAATGCTCAGCCTACGGTGGAAGCAAGCACTACCAACAACAATAAGCGTGGTGCGGGCGACCTTTCTGGATCGCTATCGTTTGATGCTGCTGGTCCCTTCGGTCGCAAGGGTGCCATGCTGGCGCAGGCGGGCGATAAGCCTTGGGTTTGCACGTGGCCAGATACGATTCTTGAAATTTTCATCTACCCAAACCAAAACACGAGCATGTACAGACTCAGTCTGTCTTCGACATATACTCCGTCAACGACCACGCCGACGCCGACTCAAATGAGCCCTAGCTCTACCGGTGCAACTGCAGATGGTGGTGCCGCTACGGCCACGGAGAGTAATTCTTCGGCAACGTCTACGCCCCCACTATTCCCAAATGCTCCGCCTCCATACCCACGTGTTGTGAAGATGGAGGAGCGTCGCATGGCAAACTCACCTCAGGCAACGTGCATGCAGTACGAGCTCAAACTAGAAGGCACAAGCCTCAAGGCCGTTCCAAACCGGGATGCCAGCGGGCAGCCCATTCAAGTCACGATTTCCGAAATTGAATCTGGCCCGTCTTTGTTTTCACAGGGAAAGAGGGACATCATGGGGGCCGGTGAGGTGTTTGACAAACGTGATGAGTCTGGCTTAAGTAAATGTGGTTGCCTCTGGATGGTGACATAACTATCCATCACCATCGACAGCTTCTTAGCTTTCCTCATTACTTTCTTTTATTTGCATCCTTTATTTTTGCTCATTCTCTGCGTCACTATTTGATTATCTATTGCGTTTTACTATACCTAGGATATTGTTGGCTGGCGTCGATATTGTCATGTTGGTATTCTTTTGTGCATATTTTAGGTGGGAGGTGAAATACGGGGCTATGTTTCGTTCTATTTGTGTCCGGATGATGGACCACTTCTGTTAACATGTATTTCGGTGTACTTTATTACCTTGTTTCTAGGCTTGAATTTTGCTTTTTCTCAAACTTTACTATTATTATATGTCTACGTCGGAATGGGAGCTGCTTCCATGTACGTCGTGCGTGTCTTTACACAACATTTTGGTCACGGTGCTTGTTTCCTGCGCTCGCATATTTACATGTAAATACCATCAATCACAATTATGCGAATGTTGTCTACATCAAACTCACTCTTCCCTTCCTTAATTGTCTTCAGACATGTTCTCCTTTGGGTTATTGAGACAGTACAAGCTTGTAAACCCATGTATGGTAAAGCAGGTTGAGAATGGTCCAGTTGTACTCCGTAGTAATAAGTGCATGCTGCAGAAACGCCCGCAGTGTCAACATCATGCCAGCTCTATGCCCTCTCTCTCAGCCGCCTGAATAATATACTTCCGCACCTTGAAAACAATTGTTAGTTTACTTCTGCAAGGTCGGTCGGCTCATCTCCACTTCATCTGTGCTTTTTTCATCAACAGACTCACCTCCTTGTCTGGCGCAAGATCGAGGGCCAAAAAACCAGACTGATCCTTCTTCTCCGTCTCAGCGCCTGCCTTGAGAAGAGCCACGGCAGTGTCACCTATATATAATTAAACGATTACAAACCGCCCTTCGAGATAAATAGAACCAAGCATGGAATGACTCATACCATGTCCTTCGGCCACCGCATGGTGCAGCGCCGTCTGACCATAATTGTCGGTTGCATTCAATGGGCTGCGGTGTTTTAGAAGCAAAGTCACCATCGGTGCAGAGCCGACTGCCGCAGCGCGGTGGATCGCGTACTGGCCGCGTTTATCCCGAACACGAGCCGATGCAGAAGGCGAGCCCTCAAGCAACTTCTTCGCGAGGTCGATGTTGCTCTTTGAAGCAACAAAATGGAGGACAGTCTACGCAATCCACGTCAGTCAAGGACTGTGAGCCAAAGTACTTTCGGCCCTCGTCGATATTTTGGCTTTGATTTGCTCGCTATTTAACCACGTGCTCACCTGTCCGTTATGGTCTGCGTCCTTGGTTAGTTATGCGGTCACCAATCTAAGAGGTCGGTTGGCCAGGCTCCCGATGTGGCAACGCACTCTTCTCGTCCACACTAGCCCCTCTGTTCAGAAGCAAATCAACAACAGGCTCAGCGTCTCTGACACTGGCCGCGATCATTAACGGTGTCCAACCGCTGTCATCCTACTCAAAAATGTCAGCCATATGGAGTGGTAAAAAGGAACTAACAAGAGCTCTGAGGTTACGTGGACCTGCCAGTACAAACCTGAACGTCAGGATCGAAACCTTTCACCTGAGTTAGAAGGCGCACAATCTCCAGCTGGTTGGAGGATGCAGCCCAGTGTATGGGCAGACGGCCATCGTCATCCTTGCGGTTTGCCAGCTTTGGATCCGCCTGTTCGATGACAGTCAGTGAAACGGATTCAACAAACGGAAAAAAATCCACAACAGCCTTACATTCAAGAGAGATTCAACCACAGTGACTACGAGGGTACCGTAGGCACGTGTAAGCTTCATGTTATTTATTCGATTAATGAGGACTTGCCGGGCTGCGCACCTTGGCCTTCGCGGCATGCTGCATGTATGGCAAATCGATCTGTCTGGTCGGCCATGGCGAAAAATGAGAACTGATCAGGAAATACGAAATCGGCGAACGAATAACAAAGAAAAAGGGGGCGATAGAGCAGACTGAGAGCGCAAGATGGCGAGCGATGTAAGTAAGCGAAGTTATGTATCTTGTACAACGCATTAGGTTGTGAATGACGCGACTACGCTTAACTATATAATATGTACCAAAGGATACTCGAATGCTGACTTATCTTCGATGTGCCCCACTTAAATTTTCTTGTCGACATCCACGCGCGCCATCGTCTCCAAAGTCAATACCGTACACTGTAGTCGACCTCCTACATCATTCTCCTTCACAACCATCCTTTCCGAGCAGGACATTACCAATCGAAAGTCTATCTAAAAAGAGAGATAAGACACCACGAACGGTCTCCATATTGCATTACTGCTCAACCAGCAAGAATTCTGGTGTCGCAGACCCGGGCCCAAACACACCAACGCGATGGCCGCGCAAGTGGCTGACAGCCGCGTTGCGGCAGAGTCCGCAGCACTGACCAATCTCATCAAGCGCAATGCGCAAATGTCCAAGGCGATATACTTTGACGGGCGCTCTGCGACTGATTCTTCTGGTGCGCGCAAGCGGCTTCGAGTCGACCCAGCGAGCGGCACCGACCCGGACGTAAACGAAGAAGCCCTGTCATTACGCCTAAACGCGGAATATGCCGACGTTCAAACTCTTCCCGAGGCCTTGGCCGCGAAACAGGTCGCCGCAGTCGGTGCTGCTTCCGCGCGAAGAAGGGCTCAGCGTAGAAAAGCCGATGAGCTGCCCAGCAGCGAGGAAACCACGACAAGGAAGATGATCGAAGGGATCCAGGAGTCTGGAAAAACGACAAAAAATGCGACAGTGGGTACTGCACATGGCAAAACAACACAGACGACAGCCTTGATGCGGACCAGGAGAAACCCAGGGGCTGGCGCAGAAGCAGAACCTGGACCTGGTGCCGCTCGAGGACAACCAGGCCAGCAGTTGATTCGCGCGCAAGACCTACACGCACAACCGCGGCCTGACTGGCACCCGCCGTGGAAGTTGATGCGGGTTGTCTCTGGTCACCTCGGCTGGGTGCGCAGTTTGGCGGTGGAGCCCGGCAACAAGTGGTTTGCGAGTGGGGCCGGAGACCGAACCATCAAGATCTGGGACCTTGTGTCCGGTCAGCTACGCCTCACACTGACGGGCCATATCTCGACCGTACGCGGCCTTGCTGTGTCCCCGCGACATCCGTATCTCTTCTCTTGTGGAGAGGACAAGATGGTCAAGTGCTGGGACCTCGAGACAAACAAGGTCATTCGTCATTACCATGGCCACTTGAGCGGCGTCTACACGCTGGCCTTACACCCCACACTCGATGTACTTGTCACGGGCGGTCGCGATGGCGTCGCACGTGTCTGGGATATGCGCACGCGCAGCAACATTCACGTTTTGGCTGGCCATACGGGCACAATTTCCGATGTCCGCTGTCAGGAGGCAGATCCGCAAGTCATTACGGGCTCGCTGGACAGCACTGTGCGGCTGTGGGATCTGGCTGCTGGCAAATCCTCTGGTGTACTGACCCACCACAAGAAAGGTGTGCGTGCTCTGACTGTCCATCCGACCGAATTCACCTTTGCCAGTGCGAGCGCCGGGAGTATCAAGCAGTGGAAGTGCCCTGAGGGCGCATTTATGCAAAACTTTGAGGGCCACAACGCCATCCTCAACACTATGTCTGTCAACGCCGACAACGTGCTGTTCTCTGGAGCAGACAACGGGTCCATGAGCTTCTGGGACTGGAAGACTGGCTACCGGTTCCAGTCGCTCGACACGGTTGCACAGCCTGGCTCGCTCGACGCTGAGTCTGGAATCATGAGCTCCACATTCGACCAATCGGGCCTGCGTTTGATTTGCGGCGAGGCCGATAAGACCATCAAGATTTGGAAGCAAGACGAGCAAGCGACTCCCGAAACGCACCCAATCAGCTGGCAACCAGCAATGTCACGGCGACGGTATTAGATGGGGTGTGGTATTAGATGGGGTGTGGCTATGGTCATTCTTGGCCGGATTTTGTGCAACGCATTAGTCATTGGAGGCCATTCTTGTCGTACTGTTTAGAGTTTTGGTAAATTGTGTGCAATCTCATTCGCTTCGCTTCCTCGTTGTCTACGAGCATATTCTATACTCAATGAATAATTTATTAGGTCACAGCATAAGTACATTCATTCATTCCTTAATTGTCTGTATAGTCTCGGTTCCTATGAAACACGAGCTTGGTATGCCCACAATTGAGAGTCGTTGCTGTGAGCGATTATGACGAGAGTCCAGCTGCCTTGACCTCCGGGTCATCGCGGAACGCAAGTTTCACATCCTCGTCTCCAATGGCAAGTCTGATCTTGCTGGGACGCTCGACTCTATGGCCCTCGAGATAAACAATACCAGCGCCCGCAAGCTCGACGGCCGCGCTTCCGAGACCTGCAAGGCGGACACCCCTCGAGGCTGCCAGGGCCGCGGCCTGTTTCCGCGATGCGCCGTCGGTTAGGTTGCGCCCTGTGAGGAGTGCTTCCAGTGGTCGGCCCTCTTTTGTACCAGTAGCGACTGCGACCGCAAAGCGGAGAGCACGCTGTGTCTCTTCAAGAACATCGCCTAATGTGCTCTCCGCAATGCCTGTTCGCTGTGTCCGGGCGAGCAGCGCTGCCAGTAGGAGCCGAGAGGAAAATGGCAAAGCTCGAAGATACTGTTGGAGAGGGCTGGATGTGGCCTCAGCAATAGCCCGCCGGATTGTATCAATAGTCACACGGCCGACAGCGCCCCGCTTCTTTGCTTCACGGTCGGAGTCATGGTCTTTACTTCTTTTGCTAGGTGTCTGAAATATGCTTGATGCCTCCTGCAGCCGGCTCTCTGTCTCTGCAAGCTCGACAGCTCTGCGACAGATATCCAGGGCACGTCGTGCATCACCACTGACAGCGGCGACTTTCCGGCTAGCGAACTGAATGGCGTCGGGGTCAACAGTGGCTCCTGGAACACCTTCTAGCCGAGATTGAATAATCTTCATTAACTGCTCATGGGTATAGCCGGGAAATGTGATTCTGGTCAAACCTATTTGTAAAGAGAAAGAAAGAAAGAAAGAAAAGCACCAAGAAGAAACGTTAGTCAACTAGCTGTAACATCAAAATTATCGGTAGGAACAATGAGCTTACCGAGTCGACTGCTAATTTTGTTACTCAAAGTGCGCTCTGGGAGGTCCATGGTGTTGGCAACGGCGAGCACTATCAGTCTACTGTGACGCAGACCTGGCCAGTTGAAAAAATTGTACATGACGCCCTGGTTTTTGGTAACCAATTGGTCTAGTTCATCCATTAACACGACACACGGGACGCGGCGAGGACTGGGGTTGCTGAATTCATGCTCCAGGAGGTCGAGGGCCTGGCCAGGGCTTACACGCTGGCCTTTCAAAGCGTCCCACAGCAAGGAGTAGGCTTGGTGTGGGTCTGTGATTTTCATGCCGTTGATCTCGACAAAAATAAAATCGTCCAGCTCATCGGACTGAACAGCAAAGTCCAAGCTGGAAACCACTTCGCGCACCGTTGCAGTTTTACCTGTACCTGGAGTCCCAGAGATGTAGATGCAAGAGCCGGTACCCTCCGTAATGGCAGCCTCCAGATGAGAATATACGAGCGAAAACTCGCTCTCGCGACATGGGAGACTCGCAGGTACTGCCGCAATATGTAGTTGAGCTCGTGCCTTTTGAAACGGCGAGGATAGGTAGTGGTTTGGGGAAAGGGTTCGAGTGGCTAGTGGTGTGAATTCGAGGTGTTTTTTCAACACGACCCTACACATGTGGTGAGACAAAGTTAGTAACAATATAAAGTCACAAAAATCGCTAGTATAGCATGTTGACTGATATGCGGTTTTGACACGCACCTTCGGTGGGACGGCGTCAGGAGCTTCGAAGCGCTTTTTGGCCGCTTGCTTGTCGGTGTCGTCGCAACTTCGAAACTCTTGTTCTTTTTCTTCGGCGTTCGTAGCTCTTTCTCGCCACCCGTGTCCTTCGGCTCATTGTAGTTGTCATCCACATCATCTTGGTAATCATACAAGTCGGCGGACACATTTTTTGTCTGTCGGCGTTTTCGAGAGGCTTTCGTGCCTGTCTTGACCAACTCGACCAGATTTTCAATGTCTTCGACTGTGCCTTTGTAGATATCCTCCCAAACAAATTCGTCCGTATAACTGGCAGTGCGGGTGTTGCAGCCGCGGCGACATATAAATGTCTTTCCATAATCCGCTGACTGCCGGCCAAGACGGCCGCTCGGGAATTTCATGCGAAACACGGCGGGAGACATGACGTTGGCGCTGCCGTTGATGGATGTCAGTGGGTTGACATCCCACGATGGAGAAATGTACAGCTCATTCTATAACCAAATGCATGTTAGCGTCAGGGAGTCCCAAGCCTGAATGTCAGTGGGTAGGGAGCTTACGGGTAGGAAGTCTGTCCTCTTTTTGGCCTTGTTGCGAATCTCCTTCTCGGTCGAGAACCACATGAAGTGGGCGGCCTTCTCGCCGTCATCACCATCATCGTCAATGAACTCGCAAATGATACCAACCCAGGCCTCGTTTGACCCTTCGGCCTTGAGCAGGACGGTCTCGCCAAGGAAGCATTCGAAATCGCCCATCCGGGCACCCACGATGCTACTTCCGGTGACCGGGCGCTTTCTTTTCCGAGAAGATTCGTGCCCATTTCCTTGTGTCGAAGGTTTGTCGGCCGCGTAAATCCATTCCCAGGGGTGGTCGAGATCACCAAGCTCGTCGTCAGAATCATCGCGTGCGATGCCGGGAACAATTGCTGGTGTCCTTCGTTTTCGAGCCGGCTTCTGTGATGCTTTTAAGAGAGGCATTTTGGTTCCTGGTCAGTCGGAGAAACAGGGCAAGACTGAGGAAGAAGGTCCGAATATGCTGTTTCATGTGTCGTGGTTCAATGGTAGCTAGGACGACTCGTTACTGTTGTAATTGCTGCAAAGCCCGAGGCAAACGCGAATTTGGGACGGTTTTGCTTAACGCGCTAACTCCTAGCCGCGAATTTTCGCGTTTCAATTAGACTTTTCTGGGGCAGCTGCGCTAAACCATCGTGGCTACTGTGGCACTACTACCATAAGTCAACGTCAACAGCCCCATTTTGGAGAAGCATTCACACACGTATGATTGATCTGCCTTGTTGTCCACAGGTGAATCCAGGTTACCAAAGCTTTTCGAGCCGGTTGGCATACTTAGTACGATGCTTGCTAGACGCACAGAAGCAACGAACTGCGAACAAAATCATAATACAAGAGCAAAATATTGACAACAGACGTGCATCCAAGTACGCATTGTGCGTTTGGGACAGTTGTGCGAAAGAGAGGGAAGGAAACAAATGCCATTCACAAAGACAAGCACGCTCAGCGATCCCAGTAACCTGGCCAATCTCCCACCCATGGGAGAGGAGCTTTCTGCAGCCACAAAGTTCTAAGAAGTGAGTTTAATACAGAGAGAAGAAACTTTCACATATATTTGGTCTAATTAATTTGACATAACGCCCTTTTGTTTCTTGGGGAACAAATATTACAGCTGAATGGGGCAGGAGCGAGCGCGGTCCTTCCTTCCTTAAACATCCCATGCATGTCGTCGGTCTCCTGTAAACAACAATGGGCACCCACCAAAACAATTTTTCACGCAAGCTCGCTGTTGTTTTTCCTTCATAATCTGCGCTTTCCCATCCCACGGGTAGGAAAGCCTCGGCGCTACTCTGTACACATCCGCCCATTCTCGTTTGCCAGCCGCCCGCCTGCCCATCGTCTCCGTCCCTTTTATTCCACGGCAGATACGAAGTCCGGCAGCACGAATGCTCGTTCTACAATGCCGTCGAACAAGAGGGGAGCTAAGCATTTGGCGGCTAAAGCACTTGTCTCTGGCAAGAAATCAAAGCAAGCGTCCATAAAAAATGCCCGGTGTGTCGTCCGCCCGTGTAGCCCATCCACACAGCACAGCCTAACCTTGACGAAAATCGACATCAATGGCGCCACCACGGTAACCGGGAGAGCTCTTCCTGTGGTAGTACGGGCAGAAGCAGCTCCTGCTGTGGTGATTAAAGCCACGTTTAAAGTTTGTGATTCTATACCTTCATTAGATTCAGACAAGATAGATATGGGCAGGCTCTAATCTTTTTTTTTCTCAGGTCGTTGTCTTGGGCCCGGTCAACATAGACTACGAGGCTTCATTTGGCAGCCCTGCTGTGCTGGACTTTTTAGACCTCGTGCGGCGACGACACGCTGTCAAAATTGAGAATGATGTCCCTCTCCCAAACAGCCTCACAATTATCGGCGCAACTCGGGATGCAATTCATTCGGCGCACAAGGACATCAATGGCTTTATGCACAACCTGAGATCGCCGATGCGGCATCAACTACATATGATACTGCCTCTCGGTAGTCGACGCAAGAAATTGACTTTGGCTAAAAACGCCAGTCACCCCGAGCTGGCACGATGCTGCTTCGAGGACGAGGCCGACGATATGAAGTGCGAGAGCATCGATAAGATGTGCCTGGCAGAACAAATATCCGGCTTCCGCGATCAGTTCGCTCTATTTGCTGACGTATTACGTTCCGTACCATCCAACCTCCACATGGAGGTCCAATTTGGAAGACTGCTTTCTAGCACGCAAGATGTCCAATGCCCAGTTTCTTCTGAGGATGTTGCTAAACAAATAGATGCGGCCATAGGCAAGTCTATTACAGATGGAGACGCTATCTTCGAGCACAGGTGAGGAAATGAATCGTAGAGTCGGGCGGCCTAGGGTACGCGAATATTACATTGGTCCAGTTCGGTATCAAAATTGCTAACAGGACTAAAGAATTGGCGGTGTCGAAGTGTTTGGTGCTATGCAGCAGCAGGTGCTTCGCTCAGGAGACGCGTTCTATCCGTGCTCTTCTGTTCTTGAAAGCCTTCTCGACGTAGAGCCACAAAGGTTTCTTGTTGGCATCATGGAGACTTTCCGGTTCGAGATAGAGATTGGACCTCCCGGTTCAGCTCCTGATAAACGTTCCGCTAGCCTATCTCATCTTCGGGTTTTCCAAACAATTGGGTCCGAAGGGAAGGCGGCGCTTACAATTGCTTGTCCCAACCGGTATGACTTATTTCACATCCAGTTGCACCTTATTATAGAGAGATATGTATTGAGTACTGACATCAGTCAGAAATATTGACTGGAAGCTTGAGACAATCCAAGAGCTGTTACCGGGGGAAATTCCATCCACTATAAAAGCTTTTCTCGAAGGCGTCACTGTCGTCGACCATAAAAAGCAGGACGGCTTTCCCATACCAGTTTTTAGGCCAGGATTGAGCAAAGAGAACCGAATCAAGCAACTGTTCGGTAAAACAGCCTGGACTGTGGGGTATAAAGGTACGCGGTATATGTTGGAGCTTTGCCTGTACCACAAGATTTCAATATCACATATGGGAGAAGCGCCCAATGACCAAGGGCAGGTGGGAATGTCAATCCTGAATAGCGGATGGGAAGAAACTCTCAAATCACCTGCCACTGAAGGTGGTCCCAGAGACCTAGGAGCAAACTGGGACCGAATATTTCGCCCTAGGAACGGGCGAGGGACACTGGAAAGTGGAATCGAGAGCTTCCTCAAGCTTGTGGATCGGGTTCTGGTTCTTTGGCACAGAGCAAACGGTGATGCCACTCGTTCCGTGGCGTCACAACCTATTACGGAGAGTGCAGAGTACGCCGTCCGCACGTCTCAGCCTGATCCACTGCCGAAATCCAGTTCCGTGGACCTGGTTACTGGCCATAACATTTCGGAAAATCGCATCTCCAGCCACCTTTTCGCCGTCTCCAACAATCAGGAGGAGGAAGTGGATTTGCTTATATTTGATTGAGGATCGAGCTGGCACCATGTATCTCGAGGTGATATTCCGCCTCTGATATCTGCAAGTCATGTCAACTTTAAGCCCTGTATAGTCGCACAGGCTGCTCTATGATATCCCTCGCTATGTCTTCCAAAACTTGCTAAACGATTCGTGACAAGCGACCATTCATAGGTACTTACTTGAAAAGAAGAAAGAAAAATAAAATATTGCGCATCCAATCTGCTTCTTGTATTATCCGAAGGGTTGTCGCTCTTCAAAACCGCAGTAAGCACCAAAGAGGTATTTGTGTTTCGCAGACGCAGGTATAAGAAACGTGAAGTTACAACTTTTCAAGGTGTGGAGTGAAGTAGACAGTAAGTTGAATATATTTGAAGTAAACGGCAGGGGATGGCATTTTTTATTGTTGTGCTGAACCAGCAAGAACCTTTTGCCGCAAAACTAAAGTAGGTCAGTAAAGACAAACGAAATGAAAGACAAATATACAGTGCTGAGACGTACCCTCTTCCACCACTCTCAATGTTGATGTCTTGTTCTGCACAATGGCCTCAAGCTCTTGAATGCTACCGGTAAGCTCCTTGATCTTGTCCTCGTAGAACTGCGCAGCGCGTTTTGTGCCCTGGGCCCTTGTCAGCATGGCTTTAAATAACCAACAGACGCCATAACGTATGTGACGAATAGACACAGGTACTCTCTCACCTTTTCAACATAGAAGCCGGTTCCAACGTCCACGATGACGTGGTCAGGATCGCTCAAAGTGCCACCAACATATAGTGAGTTTGTTAACGGCACAAGCACATTCTTGCCGGCCTCTGTAACAGGTGTCAGCTAGGAGCATAGGTTTGCCCAAGGACCTCGGGAATTGGGTATGACCTCAATTTAAAGATCAGGATAGCAAATCTTACCCCGTGGCTTTCCCTGGACACAACGAAGGCATTCTTTGAACTTGCCCTGGGCAGCCATCAACTGTGAAAAGGATGTTGACAAGTGCTCGACCTCTTCATCAAGTTGCTTCTTGACAGCACTTAATTGTTGCGGGCTGAGACTGTCCAAATTTACTGTGGTGTAGATGTGTCAGGATGTTTGTCTGCTTATACAAGAGGTCAAAACGTGAGAGCTGAGCGCTGGGAGAGGAAGATGTACCTGATTCCTGGCGGCCCGCCATTGCTGCTACTGGTCTCGAACAGGTTCAAAATGGCTTATCAAATTCCTTTCTTGGAAACCGTCTTGGATGCCCTTTTTGGAGGACACTCGAAAAGAAACAATGAAGCATCCAGGGAAAAGGAATGGAGTTGGTAATTTCAATTAGGGGAAGCCTCGCTAGCAATCGCTGAATGCAAAGCTGTCGTTCAAAGTGGGGCACATTTCAGGAATATGCGCCTAAGGCATTGTAATACCCCACGAAGATATGCACCAAAGCATCAGCACAAATGGAGTCGGATAAGATAACGCCTCACCTACCCATCACATCGCAGCACGTCGGCCGTCGGCCTCAAGCATTTCGGCAATTAATAGCGACACGGACACGCAATCCAATGCAGACCACCGCACCGATCCCACCGCCGAAATCGGGCAGTCACGACGCCAGTCGGCGGAGCACCCCAGCTACAACACAGTCCCCCCGACAGCCACCGCTACCGTCGACTCCGACAAGCCTGCCCGAAGTCACCGCATCCGCATATGCGCAAACCCCGGCACCTCCAGCCATCGTAGACCCGGGAGACACATGGCTGCCAAAGGTTCTGCAAGACAAATCGTAAGTCCTTACAGCAACGAAAGCACTACGTGCTTTCCATCACTATATCCCCTTGACTTTGCCGCGGGCCGTTTTCCTAACAACGTCTGTTATTATGGCTCTATTACAGGAAGCAAGATCTTTTCGATGTCCTCGCTTCACAAGAGCTTCTGTCCGCCCTCACACACTCTGCATCCACCATCCACCCCTCGGTATCAGCATCCTACGGAGCATTACAGAGCGCCCTAGACGAGAACATGGAGCTGGCCAAGCGCCTGCAGGAGTTGGAGGCGCGGCTAGCACATCAACGGTCCGCCACACAGGCACAACTGCTCGGTGTGCATGCGCTGGAACACTCGTGGCGGGCCAAACAAGCGGCCATGGATGCGGCACTGGCCCCGTTTGCTCCGGCTAGTCTTTACCAGCAGCTTGCAGCGGGCGTCAATGAACAGGAGCAGGTGTGCCAGGCACTCGAGGAGAGCTTTCTCGAGGGTGAGGGCGATGGAGGCCTAGCCAGCGAGCGCGAGGCTTCGGAATGGGTGCGGCGGTATCGTGATGCTCGCAAACTGTTTTACCTTCGGCAGGAACGCAAGGAGCGATGGGACGAAGGGCGTGTCGGCGGATGGCGGTAAAGGCATCATCGGGCTACTAGCTCCGACCTGCCTACCATTCGTCACCGGAGACAAATACAAGTGAATCCATACCCCCAATTCGCAAGGAAACCATTCGCACGCAGCGACGAAGTGCCACGTTTGCAACACGTCCGTGCCACCTACTGTGCACTACCTGCATTGCGCCAATAACAGTGAACGAGTGTGTTACTGGACAATGTTGGAGATAAAACTGGTTCAGTCCGTCTGGGATTTCCGGCCACGCCTCTACCGCTTCAAGCATGGTCGCTTCGGTTCAAAAAGGCAGCAATTATACACATGGCTGTCTACTGTATCAGATATACACCCCCACCCCGTCAAGACTGACAGGACCGACAGGACGAAGCGGTCGGCCGACACGGGCACTCCGATGCGGGGGTGTACGTGGGGTGTTTCGGCGAATTGGACAAACGGGCCTTCTTTTGGAGTGCCCAGGCTGCCGTAAGAGTCCGCCACTGAGACCGCCAAAAATAAGAGAATTGAACTGGAGTGGGTATGATGTAATTACGTTTCAGGGGGTCGAAACGGGGCCTTTCCAAAGCAGCGTGACGCGAACATGTTCTGGGGTGCTGCTAACCACCAAAAGTCGAAAACTTCGAGCTTTCTCGTAATCCTTTCCACGAACGGACTCTAGAACGGCAGCGCGATACGATGCACGGCGTTCTGAAAACAGGTCAGGAGGATCCATCACATGTGTTGTCCAAACTACGATGTGTTAAACTACTCCATGACACCACCAACACCCCGGCCCGCAAAGAGAAGAGAAGAGGGATGTCCTGTTGACCCGCAGTCCACCCAATACTTTCTGCGAGAATTGATACGCTTTACGAAGTATATCCTATCCTGCCAAAAGACGTCGACTGTATGTTCGTGTTGCTTAGTCATCATCTCCATTTTTGGACCGTGAATAGGCCGACACCTGTGAATAGAACAGCCTGGGCAACTCAAAGATCCTATTGTTCGTATGACATGGAACGTGCTGTGACATGACGTGCTGATTCTTTTTTTTTTTCCTTCCTTTTTTTTTTCTCTCTTTTCTGTCTGCCACACCATCCTCGGCCGGGCAGGCGGGCCGACTCGAGGAATACGACTACTAGGTCGCGGTCTCGACCTCGCTTTATCGTTGGGACACAACATACTCCGTACCCACATTCACCTCCCAGCTCCCCTTGTAGTTACGAATTATGACCTGTTAGTTTGTACAATTTTTTTTTTCAGTTCTTTATGCCGTAAGGGGCATGGTATTAACCTGTCGATAGGTACCTCTGTAGCGCAAGAAAATTGCGACAGTCTTTAAAGCGAGACTTCAGTGCAAACTTCAGCCACCTTGGATTATGAAATCAGAGATCGGGGCTTACACTAACGATCCACCCGAGGTGAGATACCGTTTGAAGCAACGTTTATACGGGCGAATAATAGAATTCAAAGCTGGCATTGTACAACATATACGAGTGACATATTCTGGCTTCCTGTTGTTCCCTTTGATACTTTCCCTGTATTTGGTTACTCTGGACTATTTGCAGGTCACTGAACTTTACATGGGGTATGCATATGATACGATGGTACCTCTTCAGCACTTTATTTGTATTTCTGTGTGCGTGTGTGTGTGTTAGTACAGAGTATACATATTTTGCCTTCGTCCAAAAGGTTGACGAAAACTTAATTGTGAGGATTAATCGCAACTAAAACTGAGATAGACAAAACGAAAATGCCCAGAACAACGACCTCTGGTGGCATGATAGCATGAGATCGCAGAACCAAATAATAGACCAATGCTTCAACAGGGATAAAGCTAACAGCGCCTTTCGACCCAGATCTTAAACCACCAGGATGTCCACCAATGGACACATCGCACAAACTACAGAAGGCTGAAAGGACTCCTGGCCATCTCAGGGCTCCGAGGACTTAGCGGCAGGGCAAATAGATCGTCTTCTGTACCAGGACGACCGCCACCTAAGTTCGCGTCGTCGTTTGTATTACTGTTCCATTTTGGCTCTCGCCAACGACGGCATCGAGTGAGCCATGAACGCTAATGTGCGGTTCGATGGAGGTGCGGAGGCCCACACTGGTGCCAATGGCTGCCAGCATTGGTACGTCAACGGCATCTGCTGAACGTGAACGTGGGGCAGTCTTTGGGTCTATGCTCGAACCTGCAATATCGACCACGGTTAGGGCGGCCGGACAGTTTTCAAAGCATAAACGAAATTGGCTGCAATTAAGTTAACAACATGTGGGGGACGGCGGTCAGCCAGCACAACTCACTGTGTAGCGCCGCCGCCAGCTCAGTAGGTGACGTTGCCAATCTCAGACCACTGAGCTTTTCGCCGAGCTTCCCGCCTATCGGTGACCGTGATAGGGCAATCTGGTCAGCGCCCACGGTGCTCGGTAGATATGGCGAGATCGCCTTGGGATGGCCGGTATGACTGGCTCCAAAGTGGGTTGAAATCCAGCCTTGCTCCTGGAGTGCAATCTGCAATCCCACGCTCTCGCTGTTGACTTTCATCTCGGCCTCAATCTCAGCTTCTAGGCCTGCAAGATTTTGTCTGGCCCACAGGGTGTGCAGTACGCCCCGCCTGCCGGCCTGACCTGGCTCTGATCCAAGACTGGTCGGATAGATGGCCGGCATGGGTTTCGTCCAGAGTATCAAGTCCTCATCCTTGCTCTCGCTGTGACTGCAACCCATACCGCCTTTCATAACATGGGTGATGCTCACGAGATGCGGGATGGTGGCACCAGGGGGGAGCAAAAAATACATCGTCTCTCTGCATCATCGCCGTTGGCGTCAATGCTGGTAGCTGCAAGCACATTGTGAGAGTCTTTCCCCTCCCACGTGATGACCCAATCCTGATGTGTCGCGCCTTTGCGATATTGGCGAGCTTGGGTTTCTGTTGGGTTTTCGGATATATTGTCCGATTCAGTCGCCATACAATCCCATTCTACCATGAGCACCTTCGTACCCTCGTTACCCTTTCCATACTCGAACTCGAAGCGTGAGAGGGCGAGAGACGATGAGGGAGACGTTGGAGTATCAACAACACTGTCCATGATGCCACTGCGACTGACTGGAGTAATTCCTTGGGTCGATTTCGCACGGCCGCAGTCAGGATGCAGCTCAGCCATGCCCGTCTCGTCCTCGGGTGTAGGAGGAAAAGCAGGAGGGGGACTAGCTTGCCTTGACATGACAACGGTGGTTGGGGTGCTGGTACGGTGAGCCAATCGGTTGCGTAAGCTGGAGCTGTAAGAAACCGTCGTCAATCAGCCTGGCGATGGGTCAAAAACGCAATAGTAGGGCGGGCCGCATCGAAGTGGGCGTTATCAAGTTGCGTGAGGTATGGCGATGCGGTCGAGACAAGGTGTGCAGTCAGCTGTCAATCATCCAGGATCCACGATTTGACTGTGTGGCAAACGTAGGAGAAACTCGGCAAGACTTTGGGCAGCTAAATTCACTACAACAGACGATAAAGCTTCAGGACGTGGTAGGCGATACCACGTCATGTATCTAGAGAGCCACAAGGAAAAGTGAAGAGGCGAGAGGCGTCAAGGCTGGATGTACTCGGCAACAAAATTCTGCCATAGTCGTGAGGCCGAGGCGAACTGTAAAGACGGTGTGGCAAAGGACCGATGAGATGAGCTGTCGATAGCATAGCGGATGGAAACAGTGTTGAGTATGGCGAAGAAAGACCAAGGGGGATGGTGTGAGATACCGAGGGCGGGAGTACGCTGGCAGAGCGTCCAGGCGTCCAGGAACAAAACGAAGTCAGGCTGCCACTCTGCGCCATTGAGATAATACTACAGCCCAATCAGGATACCTCACGAGGCTGAGGTCGGCGAAGGCGGGGTATGGAATATGGAATTGCTGTGCCGGCTATTCTTGTATCTTTGTTCTGGCTGTATTCTGGATGTTCTCCTGAGCCTGGCTATATTAAAGACGACATGTTCCCCAGCAACATGTTGTGACTAGCAGCTCGCAGGATGTTACCAACAGGGCGATACTAAAGGAAAAAAGCAAATTGCAACGCAGATGGAAAGCCGCAGTTAAATTGGTGAGAGATACGGGAAAGGAATGTGCTGATAAAACAAGAAACCCGCGGGAAGTAGAAGCAGCCAAGAGGGAGTGGTGCAGCGGGGCCGTGTGACAGTGACGTTGGACTACCATCCCGTGTTCGACAGTTAACGACAGTACGCTGGTTGTCAAGGCTCTTGGATGGTATTGGTACTCGGTAGAGCAACAGTGGTAGCTGTTTGTGTGTAAAGTTGCAAGCAGTGACACGGATGTGGTAGTGGGAATAAGAGGAGTAGAGGAGAGGGTAAGAAAAAGCAAAGCATAGTGGAAACAGTGTCACAGAACCAATGAAGTAGAAAATGAAAGAGCCATGGCGCCGTCGCAACCATGCACCGAAGAAATGTTCACGAGCAACTGCGCTCCCACATGGTTGCTTAGCTCGTATTCTCTGCGAGTGTTCTTGTTTACTAAAATAGAACGTGGTTTTAGAAGAGGTTCAACGCTGGTTGGTCAGCTAATTTTGGTGCAGGTAATGTCGGAAACAGGGAGGCAAGGAAGGCGCGATGAGATGGGACGAAAGAAAGGTTACTGAGCTCCCCGGAGCCTTGCGCGGAGACAACGGCCAGCTATAACGTGCAAAGCGGGGATCCGGACGCCGGCAGATGGCGCCGTCTGGGCCTTCAGTCGTGTCGATGTCGGACTTGCACTGCCAGTGTCTCTGTAGTTACGGAGAATGGGAGAGAACGTTGGGAAATAATAGAATATGTATTCGGTTCCCATCCTCGTTGATGGTAGAAGCGGTGAGGTCAAGTCAGAAGCGGGCATCACGGAGAAGGAGTGCGGAAAAAAAATCGAAAGACATACTTCGTACAGATAATCTCACGTGACACAACTTCCACTGAACAGTTATTTTTCTGATCATCCCGGCAGGCGGTGACCCCACATCCTGCCACGTTCTTGCATACGACCTTGCCATGTACGACTACACCGGAGCTCTATTTATATAGGACGCAACTCACCCCTGATTAGCAAAAACATCGACCATTTACGAAAATGCAATAAATAAATGCGACGTACGGCACACGGATAATACGCGCCTAGTTTTATGCTCAGTTCCAAGTTGTACAGTGTACGATGTACTTCGTAGGAAACCCCGTCTCTCCATGACAGGAACTACTGGGGAATTGAGCTAGTCTTTATCAGGAAATGGCGCCGCGACCCATTGCCATTTTCTCCATGGCTGTGCAGCGGCGGAAATGCCTGTTTTGTCACAGCTTGGTGAAGGCCAGCATCAGAATGTTATCCGTGCGGATTAGGAGTGCTGGTCCTGTACAGGAACAGAGGTCAAACCAAACAGGATGCGTCAGCATTGTACGTGTACGGTTTGTCACAGGAAAACAGGGTTCGTTTCCATCGGGATGCAGAAAATTGCTACGACCGGAATGTATGTACAGACGACGGAAGTATGCAAGCAAATACGACAAAGGTTGTACGAAAACACAGGGAAAAAAGTCTCGGCCCGAGCCAGTCAATATTAGATACTGACACTGTGTATCGCACAGTCAGCCCAACAAGTGCAGAGTACAACGGATTACATACATGCCTCCAGAATGCATGATACACAATCTATGTCGCCATGAGAAGTCCATCGGCATATGGCGTCTCGGCCTTGCCATTACCGGGGCGTATTTCCCGTTTCTGCCAGCAGCACCTGACAAAGATAACACCATGATTCCCAGCGATATTGGAATCTCTGCGTCCATGCCTGCTTCTTTCCGTGCGAGACAGATGTGCCTGGAAGATCTTCGGCCCAAGTTACTGATCGTCGGTGCAAGATGTCCCGTCCCCACAGGGTGAACGTAGTTTGTAATGATGTAAAGGGAGAAAGGGGCGACCCACTGGAGAAAAGGCCGCCCGTAAACACCCACAAAGAGGCCGACCGATTACCGTATTGGCCGAGCAAGAGCCGCCGAGAATCTGACGCCGACGGTGCGCGTCCCAGGGCGAAAACGGGGCCATTTTCGGTCCTGTAAAGGCTGGTTCACACATGACCAGGCTCGCCAGGGCTGGTGGCGGATTCGTTTTCCTAGCGCACGGGATCTTCACAAAGAGCCCAACGGAGGGCACGTGTGATTTGTGCACGATCGCGCATGATCGCACACAGATTCAGTTGCATACTCAAAGCCGAATATGCTTGTAACCAGTATGCTGTAAAGGGACACCAGTTGAGTACGGAGTATGCCCGAAGGCACTGCGGAAGGCGGGCTTGAGTGGACCAAGACGATTGGCGAGGCCAGCGCGTATTAAAACTTGGGTGGCCGAAATGAGGACCGACTGCGTGAGACAGGCCAGCGGTGAGACGGCGAGGGAGGGAGAAGAAAAAAGAACTGAAGACGAAGCAAATAAAGGAAAAGAAACAAGAACAGTATAAAAGCAAATGCTAAAGAACCGTCTGGACCAAAACGTAACAACAGGAGTACTTTGAGCAAGGTATCACAGCAAAGTTAGCAACGTTAAATCCAACTGCCATTACTCTTTACAGTATATATCCACCATATCCAGTCCGCTTTCAATCGGAAGTTTTGCTAGGCGAAACCAGCGTCTTGTTTTCTGATACACCGGAGAAGGCCCGGCCTCGTAAGTATTGTAGATCTACCTACGAATTGTCTTGGCAGGTAGACGGACATGTACAAAGTACAGCCCTCGAGACGCTTCTCGAGCACACATAAAATGGTGATCAATCGTTGACATTGCCCCCCACCCAGCAGGCTAGGAGATGAAAAGACGACGGGCGCTATTCTATCATTCCAGTACGGAGTAGTCATCTGGCTGCCGCTTGTCTGCTGTCGGAATATATTTTGGGCCCACCACATTGTTTAAGATCCTTCCCGTAGCAAATGATCCCTATGAAGTACAGGCTCTGAGGCTTTCCGTATGGGCAGGTGGCAGGGTCGCTATCTTGACGGTATGCCCCTGAACGAAGCCGTCTCTACGACACTTTTTTGTAAAGATAGTTATGACTCTTACGCACAGAGCAGCCAAAAAAAAAAGAAAAGGAAAAGGAAAAGGAAAAGGAAAAAGAAAAAGAAAAAGAAAAAGAAAAACCCTGCGGGAAGAAATAACGGCCCTGCGATGCCCGCGCAATTGTGGCATAGTGGCATAGTGAAAGATCCTTGCAAAAGGTCCTAGGGAAGGACCTGGGCACATTTCTCCCAAACCTGCCGTAATAAACGAGGGCATTTTGGGACTTCGCTCACACGGGCAAAGGTTGTCGTCTGCTTTCGAATTCTTCTTGCCCGTAGTAGGAAATATGATAAGTAGACAGCAGAAAAGCAGCTGCTCTACTCCGTACATCTCGCGACATCAAATGTCACATCCATCAATCATGGCCTTATTTTTTTGCCTCCAGAAACGGCCCGCAAAACGAACTGGAACAAGCGCAGGCCACCCGCAAGGAACTTGTAAAATACGACATACTATGCACATCGCACTCCGTAAGATAGTATCAATCTGCTCGCTGAACCCGGTCTAGACCATCTGTCTTATGCCTGGTTCTTTACTCATCGACACCTAGGAGGCCAAAAGGCAAGGAAGAAGTCGCCGCCCGGCGTCTCTGCGGCCGTTTCCGAATAGTTGAGCGTGGCCGACTGTTGAGCATCAGCTGCTAACGCGACCGCTTGCAATGCCTCGGCGGCCATCAGTGGCTGCAGTGATGGAGCCTCTGATGCCTTTGCAAAGGGACAATCGGACCTGGCGTCACCCAAGTGTGCTCGTGGCGTGCGGCAACCGAGGAGCTTTTTCCTTTGCCATCAATTCATGGACATGAGAATCCTCCTATGGGCGGCCGCGTTTTACTCAGTACGGCGACCAGCGTCGAACTGGTTTGGTTGACGCACCGTCTGATTCTCCCAGCTTTTGGGTGAAACGAAGGCGGAGAACATTCTCTAAAATGAAAAATTGACTGTGTTAAATCTAGAATTCACACTGTAAAGAACTGTCATAACGTATGTTTACAGTGCACAAGGCCTATGTTTCCTGGCTCTATTTAAGACCTCCGCGCTGTCTCGCCCTCTAATTGGCCACGGCTAAATTATGACCTGCGGCCAACGATGTGCAACGATGTCGCAGCAAGTTCCCTTCAAAGTACTCGTAACCTTGAAGTCGTCATCACCTTTTGTTCAACAGACTTATATCGTAGCGAAGGTTTCGTAATTTGTACACAATAATTACAACAGACTAGTCAATATAATCAACTACTTAAATAACACGAAGCTGGCAAATTTCTGGTTTCTACGAGTGCGTACAACGACATTAGTTGGCGTTGAGCATGTACCTAGTACATGTCTCCGCCGCCGGCGGTACTTACAAACAGGGCCGAAAGATGGTCTTTTGTATGAGGGAGGGATGGAGCGACAAGGAGTGTACTACGGAGGAAGTGTCTCCTTTGCGGCGGTACACTAGTAGATTAGCGTGGTACTTCTGTAGGCACATAATTCTAAACATAAACAGGTGTATTGTACTAGTAAGTGAGTTTCACTTTTATGTAGCCTCTGTAGGAGAGGACCCGCTCGGGGCTGAATCTTCGCATATGTTATCTGGCCCGACAGGTCTCTCCACTATTTCGCCGGCCAAACCGCCGTAGCCACCCATCCTTTAACCCCCTTCTATTATGTTACTTTCCCCCCATCCTTCCCCCTTTCCCACCCTTTCACATTCCCATCTTTCTATTCCGCGTCGTGATGGGACCTGCCTACAGAGACACTCTGTGATGCCAGCCAGGCTAGTCCAACTAAACCCGCCTAATCATCGACCCTTAATCCGCCGAAGAACCCACCCGGCCCTTTTACTGCTGCTCAGTACCTTCGTCCACCCTAGATACGCTGTACCACTCTTATTTCATTTACATGGTCGGCCCATCGATACCCTGTCGGTTGCCAACACTAGGGAGCACCACGTACCATCCCAGCGTCTTCCGCTGACCGCCAGCGTCCTTAACACCCACGTTAAACAGTGCCATCAAAGTCAGACGCTCGATCTTAACAGCGCCGTAGCTGCACCGTTTTCTTCGCACTTCCTTTTCCAGGTATCTCTCACCTATTATTTGTTTTATTTTATTTTCCCCAGCCCTTCTTCTCCCGATATTGGTTCGTCTCGCACCAAACGCCCCATACATATTCTGTACGAAGTACTCAGTAATTCGTTGCACCCCCCCCCCCTTTTCCCAAATAAACAGGGGCCTGGCTTTCGTCTTTCCTTCACCCTTTCTCTTTCGGTCATCCCAGCCGGTTTCTCCTCTTTCGTCCGTCTCTCCTTCTGTTCCTATCTCCTGTTTCTTGTCTCCTCATCGTCAACACCTTTACTGCCTTTCGATCTTCATGCCAACTTGTCCGTCGCCTCGCATTCTCGCAAACTCGCTCGCTTTTCACATATCCTCTTGGCTCGACGACTCCTAAAGTACAATATTCTCTCGCACAAACGACATCACATTAATCTTTTCATCCCGACAACAATTAAAGCCGACCTGCCGATTGTCGACTTGAAGTCGAGACTTTCGCGACGAGAAGCACACGCTTTTTTGGCAACCGGACTTTTAGCATCTGCCACGCTCACCCATCGGGTTTCGTCGCCATCGTCGTCTTCGGCCCTGACATCTCGACTATCGTCACGCGACGCCATCGCGACTGCCCAGCGCAGTTTGCACGACGCCTTCATTACATTTCTTTTAAACTCCTCCTAGTCCTGACGACATTGCCTTGCCTGAGCACCATCTCTCGAGTCGCCGCAACGTTCCAACGTTCCTTCATTTTCATCGACGTCTGCATTTGTATGATGGCCAATTTATCATGAACGACTGAATACCTTAGACATTTTTTTGGCTTCTTTACGAGACATACCAAACCCCAGCGAATCGGTTTGGCTGGAGGAGATAGAGGCGACTCTTGATGCCCAGCAAGACCAGAGCATATTTTTGTTGAGTAGTCGTCGCAGGTTCAGTTCCCTGACCCCCAACGTCAGCCATGTCGACTCCACCACCACGGCCGATGGCCATGGATCCTCTCCATATTACCGAGTTCGCATCGGACCGGTACTTTACAAAATTCAACCAGCAGCAGCGGCAGCAGCAGCAGAACAATGCCGCGTCCGGTAGCAGCACATCGGAATCAACGACCACCACTCCCGCGTCCCCGCAACCGTTGACTACACAGTTGTCATCGCCCTTTTTTCTTCCCTTATCCGCGACAGCAAAAACGGAGGCCGCCGACGAAAGAGAAAATGCTGATCTGCCAGAGCTAAAGCAAAAGAAAAGCCGCTTCCATTTGGGACGGCTGCTTCATTCAAAATCGCAAACAGCAATCCCGACAACCCCATCAATACCAACGCCTGCGCCCGCAACTACGAAGTCGCTTAGCACATTGCCAGATACACCGACCTCATCAACACCGTAAGTTAACGATCGAAGGCCGGGGGGGGGGGGGGACAGTCCCGGGCGATTGGCCATCCGTATCTAAGCGGCTATTCATTGCATTGCTAACCAAGCTGGAGTAGTATGAGCAGATTTGGTGTGCAGTTCTACAACCTCCCTACCGAGCTACAAATACAGATCATCGCCTCCATGCCGCTTGCCGATATCCTCCAACTCCGCCTTTCCTCCAGGAACATGCACGCAATGGTCTCCGCAAACGAGTCTCCCATCGTCCGCCATCATCTCCAACACAACGTGCCCGCCTACGCCAAGAGGCTCTATCCTCCAGACTACTCAAAGCTGGACTTCCGCTACCTATGTGGAATATGGCACCGCCTTCATGTCGCCGCTAAATTGTCATCCTTCATTTGCCAGTGGGTGACAAAGGAAATTTTCTTGCGCACATCAGAAGCTCAGAAGCTCGAGTTTGCGCCTCAGAATGAGAGAATGCGCCGGAGGTTGATCCCACTTTTGTTCACCATTTTCCACTTCTTCGAAACGTATCGCGCTCGCCACCTCCAATATATCATCGATCATGACGGGAAAGGGCTACAACAAACTCCTTATACTATCAACCCGATCGAAGCCGAAGTCATGAGCATGTACGACGACCGGACGCTCTTGCAGGTACACCAAGTCTTTCCGCTGGTTATTGCGTCGTTTTGCCGCCGTTTGCGGCCACCATCTTATGTTGGCCGCGTCGAGAAGTCACTGAGAGGTTATATGAAAGACAAACCTCCAGACGAAGTCCATGTTGCCACATTGTGCATTGGTGGCCTACGCCAAGTTGAGCGCTTCTGGGAAATTAAAGGCTACAACGTCAGACGAAACGCAGTCGATGTTTGGTATAACTCCGTCGCTAAAGACCTAGCGGAGTCGACTGGAAAGCCTCGTCGGGCACTACTAGGTCTCGGCCGCAAAATGTCGTCATTGGCGATACGAGATGACCCCTCGATATCTGCAAACACCTTGGCTAAATCGACTTCGAGTGTCTCGGGCGCAGAACGTGGCTCGATGGATGATGCTACTTGGGAGCGATGCAACAACCTCGTCTTTAATACCAGCCTTGCCGACGGCATGCCAATGGACCTTCTGCCTCGGGAAGAACTGCGACTGTTGTTGTCAGATCTTCCTGTCCTGCAGCAGCTGTGGCTGGTCACTGCCGAGGCACTGATTCTGGAGCGGAAAATAGTGGAGAAACAGTCTGACATCCGGCGAAATGCCCAGGTGATGTTGGAGCTCATCCGGGAGGATGGCTTCGCTGAAGAGGACGAGTGGTGGTACGGCCAAGGCGCACACGATTCTATTCGGCCACCATTGGACTCTATCGAAGAAGACATGACTGAGGACATGACGTCGTGACAGCTGCCACATGCTGAGACACATGGACGTGACTCGAAATAAACCGCTAGCTTTCTAACAGCAACGGTGACTACGTTCATCCGATACCTGGTGACTAATGCTCTCCTGCTTTCTCTGGCTGGCATTCATGCCACACAACCACACAATACCTACCAACTACTATCACACGTATCTACACAACGACACGCATACACGTGCATGCACTTTTATGCACGCACGCACGCACGCACGCACGCATACAATCATGCGTTTACATGCATCCACCGCTCGGCCGTGGCTTTCCTATGTCCTCATAGCATTTTAGGCGTTTTCTCGAGAGGTTGAGGGATCACTGATCCAACCAGCTTTGGTACACGGTAGCTCAACCTATGATCATAGGTGGCTATCGCTGTTAACACGATCCAGCTTTAAAAACATTTCTCTTTATTTTTGCACATTAGCACCTTGTTGGCACAAGCAAACAAGCGATGCGCGGACCTTTTCTAGTTTTATATATATTCATTTATATTTTGAGTTGCGTCTTACGGGAAAACATAGACGTCAATTTTTTGGGCCGGATTACAGACACAGACTAAGGGACCTCAACAGGTCCGGCGTTGGGCTATGTGTAGCCATGGTTGATAAAGTTATATAAGAGTCTATCGATTGTCTTACTTTCATTTTGCTTCAAAGAAACTCGTAAATCGCCTGCTTTGACTTAATCAAATCCAACAAGGTAGTCGTTTTTCGACTCAAACCAATATACAGGAGTACTAACGACCTAGAACACAGTCTCAGGAACAATGATATCTGTTCCGCAATTGGAGATGGCTTTGAGGTTTTATTTAAGCTTGGTTGGTGGGTAATAATTCCACATGCACCTCCCCGGTGTACCTTTTTAAACTTGATCAATTACGCGCTCCGTGGGCATATATCAACCACATAGGAAACCAAAAAAGGGAGGAAAAAAGAAAACCTTGCTCCGGCTCATATATATTCAAGAGTCATCCCTCGAAAACAGACATAGTATGCGGACTTCAAACAACTGTTTCGACGATGGGCAAATATTTCAAGGCGCAGGCGAAATAAACTTTACCAAAGTAATAATCTGGTGAAGTGTCTCCTTTTACGAAGCCGAAAAAAGGGCAACCGCATCAGTGATAAAACGCAAATGGTCTTTGTTGCCCGTCATAAGTAGCCGGAACAATAAATGGTACAGTAACAAAGCTGCAGCCAGCTTTGCAAAATAAAGACGGTTCCATTTAACAAAGAGAAGACACAATGTACCATTTCTTATCGCCGGACATCATAAAAGCGATCCCTCGAAGCGCCTCCTATAGTCGTATCAAACGAGTTGGCGGAGGATGAGGGTCCAAACCCGCCCATGTTACCCGATGTCCTGGGCACGCTTCCGCCTAGGCCATAAGTGGTTGGACTACTTAATCCAAGCCCACCGCCACTGCCTGTCGTATCAAGGCTGATGCCGTCGAATAGAGAAGGGCTATCGAAACCGTGAAAGCTCTGCATCCCTTGCGAAACACCCACGCCATGCGAGTGTGCCGCGCCCGGCGAGTGTTGTGGCCGTGTGCTCACAAAAGAAGGCGGGCCTTGGTGGCCTAATGCATGTGCTGTTGTCTCCGCCGTACCATATGTGTGGCCCAAGGAGGGCGAAGCGGTTGAGCTTTGGCGCCGATTCTGTTCGTATGTAGAAGAATTAAAGTGTATTGTCCCAGCAGAAGGATGAGTCCCATACCCCCCATGCCCAGATCGAATGGTAGTGGCATTTGGAGCCGCAAACTGCGGCGAGCGATGAGCGTTGCTATCGGTCAACATTCCCGGAGAGCTCGAGCCAGTATTTTGGGAAGATTGACGCTGTGGGGGCGCAAATGATTGGTGTTGCTGTGGCTGGGATGTGTAGGGACCTTGGGATTGATATCGCGAACCAAAATGATGTTTCTCCTGTGGTTGACGTTGCTGCTGGTGCTGCTGGTGCTGCAGGTGCTGCAGTGGCAGTGGAAGGGATTGGTTGAACTGGCTGTTTTTTGCTGTCCTACCGTGTGTATAGTATGTTTGTGGGACTTGATCTGGGCGTGGCAATTGTTGAGTTGCAAGTGAGCCTGTTGGCAGCGATGCGGCCATTTGCGACTGGGAACTGTGCTGCGAGGAGATAGATGAGCCAGTATGGTTAGATACATGCTGATGCGAGTGCAGCTGCTGCATTTGGTGTCCTGGCTGACCCTGGTTCCCTTGCTGTTGAGAAACTTGTTGTTGCAAATGATGTTTCGCTGCACTTCCTAGGCCCTGAATGTGATCAGAGGTATGGAATGGTGGAGTCAAAGACATCGTCTTCTGCGCGACGAGTGGTGGTTGCTGGAGGGACTGTGTGTTCTGCGTCGGTATTTGTTGATTGCGGAGGGCAGAGAGGCCGTCGTTGTGGTTCTGTTGATGCTGTCCTGGAAGTGCAACAGGAGCATCGTGTTCTAAATGGTTCGATAGGGCTTCAAAGGCGGCTGAATTGAATTCTCCGTTTGTCCCTGTGCCGGAATCGAGAGGTGGCATTATCGACGTATCACTACTTAACGGTGCCTCGGCCTGTCCAAAAGCACCGGTGGTACTACTTGAAATAATGTCAGGACCAGGCGAGGAATTGCTATCAACACCAGGCTGGATTGACGCGCTTGTGTCAATCACTTTCCTCTGTTTTTTGGGTGGTCTCGACATGCCGTGTAGACGATCTGATTGGTGGCCAACGTGACTGCTATTGCGAGAATTTGGAACGCTGGCCGCTCCATCAGTTGAGGCATTGGCTTCTGCTGAGCCTGCGGGCGTACTGTCTTGCTTCGAAACCTTTGCTCTTTTTCTCTTGTTTACTGCCAAAGTAAGCGTGTCGCTTGGTGCCAACGGCATGTGATGGACATCCGCCGCGGTGCTCTGGAGGTCGTAAGTTCCTTGCAGCTGTTGAGATTCTATATTTATCTCATGGCTATTGCTTGCCCCGGTATGCACAGTTTGTGTGAAAAGCGTCGGGGTTTTTGCAGCGGAAGCGTTCTGCTTCTTCGCTTTCGGCAATTTCGAAATAACTGGGGCGCCGGGCACTACCGGGGGCGGGATTGGGGTCACAGTGGCAGGGCCACTTGCGCTTGGCGTTTCGTTCGTTGTGTCCGTCGCCGGTGCCTTGGGACGATTTTTCGAGCCTTTTGGCCTTCCTCTCTTCTTTCCTGTTTCCTTAAGAGAGCCTGGTGCAGTAAAAGAATCAACGGCCTTGGCAGCATCCTGTCTCACATCCGAAGCCTGCCTCATCCCTAGTTCTGAGCTGAGATGCGAGTCTGCAGGAAGGCTAGCATTCGTATCTGTTGAAAAAAACAAGCCATTCCCCACGGAAGTGGGAACATCTAGGATGTTGTCATCATCAACGTCAACCCAGCTGTCATCCCCGTGATTCACATTGGCTATCGAAGTCGTCTGAAGGTCGAGGCGGGGATCCTGGGCCGTAGACAGTGCCTTCGAGGAAACCGAAGCGGCGGCGGCGGCGGCGGCCAAAGCTTTCCGATCTTTGACCGGCCCTTTTTTTATGCCTTTGTCACGTCGCGCTTTGGTAGCTTTGCTTCCCTTGGGTCTTCCCCTCCGCCTTTTCTCTGTGGAGGGAGTGGTGCCGTCGATGATAGTGGCTTGGTGAACAATATGGGTCGTATCAGTTGACGTGGTAGGAGTTGTACTGGGTTTGGGCCCGGCGGAAGAGGCTGCTCCGGCACCGGAGACTGTCTCTGCCAAGTTACCAGGTGCGAGTGCAGAAAGGCCAGAAGGATGGGGCTTCTGCAAGGATTTTGGGGTGGTAGACGCCTCGTTGGCTAGCCTGGGAAAGATCTCGGCTATCCATCCGACAAAGGCACTCCCAGGGCCGTTTGCAAGTTCACTTCCAGGGAAAATACCGTCAGAGGGTGGCGCTGCACCAGGTGTTCCCCCAAAGTATGAAAGTGCCTTGCAAATCTGATCCACGACCGAAGCAGGAGAAAGATCCCGGAGTAGGGTCAAAAGGCGAGTCTGTTCGCTCTTTATGTCTGCCGGCATGAGTGGTTGAGGTACTGACGCCGGAGATGCCGGTTGACCAGAAGTTTGGGCTGATGGGGCATAATACGAATCCCAGGCGCCAGGATCATCCGGTACACGGACAAAGCGCTTCGTAGAGGAAGTAGAGGACGTGCCGTGGCTGCTCTGGTAGGCACGCATGGCAGCCAGTTCCGTGCTTTCGCTTGCACGTTTGGCAAGCTCATCACGTTCAAGTGACGACTCATGGCCACCCAGTTCCAATTGTATTATGCCAAAGTTGCCACTGAGACTGCCCTTGTGGCCCTTCAGCTTCTTGGGTATTGGGTCTTTGATGCGTGCATCTCGGTACTCAATGGTTGAGGATGAGCTAACCGACACAACGTTGCCAACAATGGAGCTGGAAACAGGCGCCGGGTTAGGGTCAACAGCGGCGATGGCTGACAGTGGAGGGAGCCCCACAACCGGTTGGAGAGACGACATATCGGCCATCAGAGTCACCGCAACTGGGCCTCCTGTGATACGTCTCGTTCCTTGCTGTTGTCTGAGAGCCGCCTAAGATGTCGGCGACATTGACATTCGCAGCGTCTAACACTAGCAAACGGCAGTGGTATACACTTCCTCAACAATGGGCTTTTTGGCTCCAACGTACACTGCTGTGGCGCAACGGCAACTTGCCGGTGCGGCCACCGGCTCCGCAGCAGCAAAGCAGGAGATCCGTCAAATCCCGTAAAACAGTCGCATAGTCGCCCCCTCAGAACTGGCTTGGCGAAGACAGGTCGACTATAGCATATATGATCGATGGTACAGAGGAGATGACAAGGCACGGGGGGAGGACCAGGTCTCGATCGGTCCGGCAGAAGGCACGAGCAGATTGCTCCTCACTGCGACGATTAAACGGAGGTATACAATTTCGACGTGTGTCAAAGGGTATCGCGTAAAAGAACGAGAGTGGAAAGACGAGGTTGGCCAAGTGTAATATACTCTTGCGCTTCACGTGTTTGACGAGAAAGTCAGTGTATAAACGCCTTTGAGGTTGAGACTTTTGTCTAAACTTTACAAACACCTGCTTTTGGCGCGTAGTTGGTGTATGCTGGCTTTGGAGGTGTCGACGAGGGCTGAGGTAGAAACGGTCGGGTGTGTGAGGGGGAGTGCAACAACACCAACAATCGTGGAGAGAAGAAGGATGGCAGAAAGTCGGTACGAGCGGGCAGCAAAGAGAGCTACCAAGAGTATCTGTAGTATTGCTCAGTAAATTACTCGGGGTTGGCGAAGAGGTCCGAGACAGGCGATGCGGGCAAGCCGAGCCGAACTGAAGAAGTCGCGACGGTGAAGTCGAAGATTAGGTAGAGGACAAAGTTCGACGAGGAAAGGAGGCGGAGGATATGAAGCACCCAACAGGAGCGATGAAGAGCCAAAACAGGATGCGGTCACGGGATTGCAACGACAATGGTGCTCTCAAATGATTTTACCGATTAATTTGAAGCTGTAACAGGCCCAACTGTGCGACGACAACGACGACGGGTGCCAGCAGCCAGCATCAAGCGCCGAGCTGACAGAAGATAGAAAAGAAGAAGAGGCGCTAAAACGGCGATCGTTGACGCACGTTTGCGCGGTGGGAGCAAGGCGTGTTCAGAAAAGAAATGAGACGAAGCAACAGACGATGTCGAAAAGTGAGGCAGGAAACACCATTTGACGTCCGGGGTTGGGTTCTTCTGGACAGCTTTTGCAAGTACTCGGTACATACTTCTGCGATAATTTTACGACATGCGCAGCCAGGGCAACGAGGCTTCGGGCTCTTCGCCTTGCACTGTTCATGTCAAGCCAGCAGGTACCAGGTACCTGGTGACGCTTGAGCCTAGCTGCCCCACTAGCGCAGAGCACATCGCGGTCAGATCACTGTCAGTGCAACGACCGGTTTCTTTGTGTTGAAATGTACAGCCTAGCTAGCACGGCACACCGCTCGATTTGCGAGGTCCTGGCCTAGCGTCTTCTCATCCCACACAGTTCTGCCAGCTGTCACCAGCTGTGCTGTCAATAAGCTGTTGGACGGTCGTATCGACAAGGTGTTAATCTTCGGCATCTTATATTCCCCCACTATTGGTGCTCTTCGGCCACACTGACCGAGGAGCTTTGAATTTTACGCAATCTGCCTCATCTCTCCTCCTGTCCATCGTTTCCCATTAAGCTACAACCACTCGCCCATGTCCTGACAACACGCTGGACAACAAAATACCCGGTACCTCATATCTCTGCGCTCGAATTGTTTTTGTGCCAGCTGCCTGTTCTGTTCCCTTGTCAGTCGGAACACTGGAGTGAGTGGCATTCATTGGCACTGGCAGCGGGTAATAGCCACACACTCTCTCTCGCACATCAGCAATCAGCATCCATCGTCGACATTCGCGGGCAGCATATCTGCGGGGAATTTGCTTGCTGAAACTTCCTGTACAGGTGCATTGTATACGCATCGCATTTTCAACCACAATTCTGCACAGCTATCGCACCTCTCGGAACTATGCCGAACCCCGCAAAATACGCCATCGTCTCTCTCCCCCTCCGCATCTTCGATTCCGGCAATCGAGAGGGGGCCGTCGCCTCTCTTCGTACCACCGTGAACCCCGAAAATGGCGCTGTCCAACTCTTCCTCATTCCTGAGTTCAAAATTGGTACCCTAGATGCCTTGGTCCAGCAGGCAGATGACCTTGCAAAGCTCGACGCTGGTTGCGAGGGTGTGGCGTCTCGGGTGGCGGACTCCCTAAGAACGATTCTCGACAACGACGAAGAGAAACTCACGCAACACAAGATCGTCAATGACAGTAAGGAGAAAAGAGGCTTTGTCCAGTTCTGTTTCTAATTGCGCCACCAGGTGTCACAGTCGTAATTTGCTAACTGAACTGCCAGAGCCTACTGATCACTACTTACAAAACTTCTCCTGGAACAACGTGCGGTACCGGATAGATCGCCCGCTCGGCGATATCATCGACACATTGCAAAAGGTATGTCTCTCTAGGAACTTGTTGTAACGTTTTGAGCTGAACAATCTCGTCATTCCGACGTTTATATGCTTTATAGGCGGCTAATGAGTGGCTTGTATAGGAGCTCGTCAACATCGACAATGATGTCAAGGGCAAGTTCACCCAGTACAACTCGGTGAAGTCCAACCTGGCTACTTTGCAAAGAAAGCAAACGTATGTTCTTCTTACCCCCCCTCCCCCGTTGCGTTTCTCCTTATTGTTCTAGGTGCAAAAAATATGACAAACCTGGACTAATATCAACCTAGTGGAAACCTTGCCACGAAGTCCCTGACCCCTCTCATTAAACCCTCGCTTTTAGTCCAAGACTCGGAATACCTTGAAACGCATCTTGTTGTTGTCCCGACCGGCTCTCGAAAAGAGTTCCTCCGCGAATATGAGACGCTCGCTCCGATGGTGGTTCCCCGGTCCGCGAACCAGCTCGCCGAAGACGATGAGTTTGCGCTGTTTGGCGTGACAACATTCAAGAAGCACAGTGCTGAGTTCCTGCAGAAATGCCGTGAACATAAGTGGACGCCGCGCCAATACAAATACGTTGAGGGCGGCAAGGAAGAGGAGCAGCGCGAGCTGGACCGTGTCACTCGTGAAGAAAAGAAAGTTTGGGGCGAGGCTTTATGGCTGGCGCGTACGAGTTGGAGCGAAAGCGTCATGATCTGGATGCATGCACTCACGCTCCGTGTGTTTGTCGAGACAGTTCTACGGTACGGCCTACCGCTCGACTACGTGAGCGTTCTAATCAAGGTGAGATGTAATCCAGGACCAAAAAAAGCCAATAGTTTTCCACTTGCCGTTGTTTTCTATTGTTCCCTCTTCTCCCGCTACTAGATATTGGAGAGAACCATGCCGCTAATGCTACATTCTGCTTCACAAAATACAGACGTCGCCCAAGTCTGCGAAAAAGCTCAAGACATCGCTGGATTCAGCATACTCATATCTCGGCGGCAATGCATTTGGTAGGGACAAGAAGGGCAAGATCACTAAGGACGATGCCTCGCTGTCTTCTGATATGGCAGCTGCTGGTGTCGGGCTAGCTGATGGCAACGAGTACATGGCGTACGTGTACTATGAGTTCGAATTCCCCTAAATATGGGGACGGACCGAACCGAGATGTAAAAGGGTACAACCGTCATGCATGCCACCTCGTTGTAGTAGAGGAACGGCAAAGCGACGTTCTTCCCCTTCAATGGGCATTTGCCTTTCCCTATTTTATCCTGAAATTTTGTACATCGCCCATCGCTTCTCATTTTTTTTCCGTCTTGTCAACCCCGTTTACTGCCAGTGTTTTATTCTTATTTTTTTATCCAATCAACACAGTTGGCAATCTGAAACTTTGGGATAGGGTGAGCCTGGTAGCCCAATTATATTTTGGCGTTCTCTGTCACAACTCATCCCTGCTTGGGCCTCGAAGACTATACAGACGCAGTCGGAATAAACAGGAGGCTCTTGCTCTTCAGGTACTCCACTATCTGTGCGACGCACTCTTCGACGGTGTTTTCGTGCGTCTTGATGGTGATCTCGGCTTCCAGGGGAGCCTCGTATGGTGCTGAAATGCCGGTGAACTCCTTGATTTCGCCAGCGCGGGCCTTCTTGTACAGGCCCTTGGGGTCCCGCTGCTCTGCGACGTCGATCGGGATGTCGACATAAACCTCGATGAACTCTAGGGGAGCGTTGCCGGCCTGGGCAGACTGCGTATGCAGCTCGCGAGCTAGCTGGCGGTCTGCGCGGTAGGGAGAGATGAAGGATGTGATGGCGACAGTCGACGAGTCGGCAAATAGCTTGGCGACCTCGGCGATGCGGCGGATGTTCTCGTTGCGGTCCTTCTCGGAAAAGCCGAGATCCTTATTGAGACCAAAGCGGACGTTGTCACCATCGAGGCGGTAGGCAGCCACACCCAGGTGCAAGAGGTGCTGCTCGAGGGCCGTGGCCACGGTAGACTTTCCCGAGGCCGACAGGCCAGTGAACCAGATGGTGTAGCCCTTTTGGCCCCGAGCCTGGTTGCGCTCTTGGCGAGTGAGGCCGGTGTGCCAGGTGATGTTTCTTGTGCTATCCGTCAGCCACGTGTTTCTTTTTATTTTCTGTCTCCTGCCTTGCTGCTGACAGAATTGCCCATCTTCGTCTGACAGCTTTCCGAGTTGATACCCCTCCACTACCGGCCAAAGATTGGATATTCTGCCTCTTTTCTTCCTGTGCATATGTGCGGATCGTCACGTACGTAGCCATTGTAGCGGGTGACTGTGGTGTATTTCCGAGGACGTCGGAGTCGATTGCTGGGGTGGGCCGGGTATAGATGGTCGTCAGAGCTAGAATAAAGACCACGACGGCAAAGATGAAGTAAATTCTAATTGAGCGCGATTATCAGGTTACTGGTATTTGGCCGAAGTTTCGCAAGAGTTGTTTAACGAAGTAGTGGGGGTCCCCACAGGACAGTAGCACGTAATCCTGTGCTAGTGTGTAATCTCGACACGTTCGACAGCGTATTGTCCACTGCAGGCGCTGCACCTATCTGAAGCAAACGTGAACCAGTAACTAATTATCATTGCTCCTGATTTACTCATCGCAGTGCGTAGATTCCGCTCTGTATGTACAAATGACGCAGTCACCATCCGCCAGCAATCCAGTTGGCCGCAAAGTCGCTCGCCTCACATATATAGAGTGAATGTGACCCCGAGACCAGCGATTGTGAGAACGCTTCCCAACCCAGGACTGAACAAGCCATCACCGCCATTGACCGAGACAGTGCCCGTTCCCGATGCAAATGATGTGGCACTGGCCTGGCTGGTCGTAGCGGTTTTCTTGCCGCCGCCAGGCGCGGTCGAGATCGCGGTCGAGTTGCCCTTCCCGGAATCTGAGCCGCCAGCCACGGGATCGGTGGCATTGTTTGCGGCCGCGGTTGTCGTACCTTTGGAATTCTTGCCAGTCTTAGTCGACGCGTCCCTGGTCTTGGTTTTGGTCGTTGTAGAGCTCGACTCCTGTGGCAATCAGTGTCAGGCGAACCCGCTGCGGCTGCTTCTACATTTCGGAACACGAGGCGGCATACCTGAGCAACAACAGCTGTCGCGAGCGCGAGGAGGGTAATTGAAGAGAGCCTCATTTTGTCAGCGGTGGCGGACAAGCGGTGCCAGACCGAGTAGATTCTTGCAGACGATATTAGGCGAAGAGGTGCCGGGGCGTTTCGCTTGGGACGAGAAACAGTCTACCACCTTGTTCTCTTCTGACTTTGCGTCGGTAAGAAATGATGTGGTCGATGACGACGGGGAATATATATAAAAGTCTGATGAGAAGCAACCAAAAGGTCGTTCTCGGAGGACGAGCTTCTCTATTTATACTTCAACAAAGCAATGGAGATGCTTGGTCTCAAAAACTCTCTCACCGAAGGCAACCCGTTGCGTTGATACTACAGTTGGGCTTCATTTTCTGCCACCAAAAGCCCACACACCGAATGGTGTCCTTGCTGGAGAACGCTCCTTTGTCATGCATCCTGTCTACGCAGGTTCTTAGATGGCATGTCTAAAAAAAACCTATCGCCTAGACTTCGGTCCAGTACCGTGATAATCGGCCACCGATCACGAGTATCAAGAACTGTAAAAAATTCAATCCGTGATAGACCCTGAACCGGGTTGCTAAAATATGGTACCTAGTACAACGAGTTACTCGGATATTCTTACGACTGGACATTCCCGGTAAAGGTCAGAAATGGATGTACTTGCTCTACACTCGTTTCAAAATCGAGTGCTAGCGCATGAGGAGTCATATACATCGATATACATCTCAGCTGCTGGAAGGCCATTTTGTGCAACGAGCGCATTGGGTCGCAGGCTGCGGGTTGAAAATATTTCGCCATCCAGTCGAAACGATAGGTGTATGACAACGCACGCTCTGTTATTACCAATTCTCCAATATTTAGACCTATGTGTAAACTGGACTGCAAACCTATTTTATCATGACTGTGTGTGTTTTGTAGACAGTGTTGCTAAGAAAAGGCTGATAGGATGGCTGGGACGATTTGTCGACAATGCGTCGTCGAACTACGTCGACTTGTCTCATGTATGGGCTTGAATCATATACCCACTACGCGGTGGCAATAACAACAAGAAACCTCGAGAGCGAGCATACACATATGTTATCAATGTATCCATTAATGGAGCACTGGCTCTTTGCATTTTATCCCTCTTCATGGTCTATCCGCAAGCTCCTTGGTGTCTTGTCATTCACGTCGTAATCCATGCCACAGACATATATTTCGTTTTCGAAACCCGGCCACATGATTAAATTTGGAAACGCAAGTGCAGTCGTTTCCTTGCACGCTGACCCTCTAAGCTGTGGCTTTGGTCCATTGGGCTGCAACGAGCAACACATATTCCGAGATGCATTCACTGGACGTCAAGCTTCGTCCGCTATGCGTTTCCCTTGAATTCAGGCAAGCCTCACATATCCCCATTTAAGACGTACCGGAGTAGCTCACGCGGAGCTCGTAAATCGGTGCTTGAATCAACTGCTTTCGCCATTCCCACAACAAAGCGGCGTGCGCAGTATTCGTTGCCCTTCATCTTTTCAAACCTCTCCACCTGGGACAGCAGGGAAACTTTCGAAAGGCTACCGCCTTGTCCAAGCAACGTTGCGATTTGGCTGGCCCTTTCAACAACAGTAGGCGTGACACCGCTGATGGCCGCACAGTGGCAACCAAAACTCTCCGTGCTTCTTCCTTCCCGAAGTATGTGAAGAAACTTCACCTTTTCTTCGGGCTTCGAGGCGATTGGTCTTACTGCCACGCTCATATAGAACAGTCCTAGACGGGGGTGCTGTTTGAATCCTCGGCGCTTGAATATTTCGTGGAAATGTGTTGCAGCAAGTACCTTTGGGGCGTCGTTTTGCCCAATGCGGAGAAAGTGGTCAAGCAGCGCATCGAACAACGCCGCGCCGTCAACCGTGGCCGTGCCTCTTCCAAATTCGTCTATAAGAATAAGAGTTTTCCGCGTCGCAGCATTGATAGAAAATGCTGCTTGCCGTAGATCGACTCCGAACGCACTTTCATTACGCGAAACACTCTCCCGTGTGACAATTCTGGTTAGAATCTTATCTGTGATGCCGACAACGGCCTCTTCCGCTGGTACATAGCTTCCAACGTGTGCAAGAAACAGAATCGTCGCGACCTGCCTTAGATAGACGCTTTTTCCAGAATGGTTGGGCCCTGTCAATACAACAGTACTTGGAGTGCTGTTGTCTGTGTCTTGAATAGGTGAGCAATCGCAATCCATGTCTCCCGCGGGATCGCCTGAGCCACCTGACAGCTGGCAGTCATTCACCACAAAACTTTCTCGGCCCGTCTCTTGCCATAAGTGACGACCTTTCCGAATGTATAGGACGTTTTCTTCTGTCATTTGCGGGCGAACGAGTTGGAACAATTTCGCTCCATTGGAAAGAGCAAGAATGCTGTCGATGTGCCCAATGGCGTTCGAAGCACAAATCAGCGCTTCTTCCCTTTTCAAAATCTCAGATCCGAGACAGTGGAGCACTTCCACTTCAAGATCTGGTATACGTTAGCAATGCACTCGATTTCTTGGCATAATAAAAGAGACTGAGATAAGAGAACGCACAGAGCCGTTCGTTGTGCTTACCAAGTATCCGTCCGGCTAGATCTCCAAACTCCTTGTCTACATCACACAAGATGGGAGTCTTGAAGTACAAAAGTCCGTCGTCTCGCAATATTTCTTCCCAGGAGCCAAACTCAAGATCGTCTTCCAGGGCAGGTTTACTGTTACTGCTGTTATCACTGTGATCACGGATGATGGCAGATGCGACGAGGAGATACCCCTTTCGAGGGTGAAAAATCCACCCCACGATATCATTTTGAGCGCTGCTTCTCAGCCTGGCTTTGTACTCTTGGCAAATCTCTTCGAGATGAACCTGAAGACGGCTGTACGTGGACCCGAGTGCATCGAGCTCAGGGCTGACTCCTCGAGCAACGAAACTACGACCACAAGATCTCGACTTTTGAAATTCGATCGTCGTAGCCAGCTTCTCTCGAATTTGAAAAATTGCCTCGGAGTCGATTTCACCTAGAGCCTTAACGTTTCGGTGTTGTCAGCTCAGAAACAAAAATATACCGGACTTCCAATCCGCAAAGAGCGTTCACTGTCAAGGCGTACCTTGTCAAAGACGGTGCAAATTTTGTATCCCACAAGTAAGATCTGCAAAATAGCAGAGCAAAAGTCTTGGAGGTTCGCCCAGGTACTTTCCTTGATCAAAGAGAAGTGTCCAGAAAAGTAAAGCCCTCTTCGAAGGTGGGCCAGGATGGGCAGAATGTTCTTGGCCTTTTTCAGTGCCGCACGGATAACTCCTACTGATTCTTGGCTTTTCGAGTCTAGGAGGTTTGAGATAGACTGCTGGCGCGCATTGATGAGTGCAAGGTCTGTGCTCGGATGAACAAACATTTCGCGCAGTGTGCAACGTCCTTGCGAAGTGATGGTCAGGGAGCAGAACATGTCGAAGACGGAGCGTTTGCCACGTAATGTACCAGCCATGCTGCCGTTGTTACTCGTCGCTGCGCCCGTTCTAGTGGCGTATCGTAGATCTGGGCGAAAAATCTGTAGCGATAGCAAGGCCTCAGCTGTAACAAACATGTAGTTATCGTACGTTACAGTCAGAACAGATCGAATATGGATTTGTTCCGCGTGTAAGCCTATTGTGGTAGCCTGCCTTCTTTCGAGGTCGCGGATTAACGCACTCGCGCAGCCTAGCTACGGCAGACGACCATATATTAGTTACAATTCTTAAGGAAGCCGCTGAGCCGGCCAGTATATCAGTGCAAAACTGTTGACTTTGTCTACTTACGGAAACCTGGCCATCCAAATTAATGAATGTACCTAGGTAGATAAGTTTATTCCGCGTGTTTCTATCGTCTCTGAGGTGCGCAGGAACAGCATCGCGACTGTCATTCCCCTCTACATCTTCCACGGCGGATGTGAAAGGGGCCGAGCCCGCTTTGAAACGTTTGGCATCATCCAAGTGTGCCAGAAGCTGTCTTCCAAGCACTGGGTTGAAGTCGGATGACACGACGGAGCGTAGTTTAAAACCACGCTCCGCGTCGTCACCCGAGCCAGAGTCCGTGTTTTCACCGGCGAGATGATCAAGTAGGTCTACCAACGCACCCTGAGCGCGGCTTGGGACGATGATGCTGGTAGGTCGGACTTGAAAAAGCAGCGATTCAACTAACTCGAGTCCGACAACCCGCGTGTCGTCTTGAAGATACACCGTTGCCGTATCAGAAACGTAGTATGCGCAACCGACCGTTCCGTTAACTTTCATTTCCAACGCCATGTAAACCCCACCGGGCTCGGTCACCCAGGTACCAGCAGCATCAGGGCCGTCGTGAGCTGCAGGACAAGTATCACTGTCGATATTACCGTTTGGTTGTGAGGGGTCATCAAGAGTGCTGCTACCAACAGTATGCAGAATCTCATTGAGGATATCAGGGTGACCCGCCGTGTCATGCCCCGTGGCGGCCGGAGAGAAACCCGGAGGGCCAATTGACCTCGAAGATCTTGCAAATCGGGGAACCCGAACCCGGTGAGTCATCTGCCACCGTGTAGGTACAACAGGTGGGGTTCTTGCCCACCTCCTGTTTAAAACCATGGTATTTCGAAGCTCACAGAGGGGTCGGCGGCGGGTGGTTGCTGTAGACCACAAGAATAGGCGACAAGAGACGACAGTTGGGTTTGAGAGGCAACACGGACCCAAGAGGGAGACGGGAAAGGGGCTGGACGGTGGTCGAGGGGCCATAGAGCCTTAAATAAGTCTCGTATTTTTCACGAGGCGAAAGACCCAACGCCGGCTACTGCAGATTCTCGTTGGCAAGGAAGGTGCGGCTGGTCCCCCGATTCACATATATCCAGTATCACTGCTTGGCAACATCATACCGCTGCCGTGAAGGCCAGCTTACTATTGCATCTCTTCGATCCAAAATCAATGTGCTCCAAATACAATCCCTTTCTCTCTGCTCCAATACAAGTTCAGCAATGCTCAACCCAGGTCTATATATAGGCGTGAAGCAGCGGACAGAAGGACGGCACGCATCTGTAAGTACCAGTTAATCTAGTTGGACAGGGTGGCGGCATAATTCTAGCGTTTGTGGTTTGATCTAGTATAAAAGGTCTGTGGTAAGGCAATCCCGGCCTGGTGCTGACTTGTTTCCTCCTACTTGGGCTTCGGTCCGTATCATAGTCTTTCACTCTCTCTCTTATATGCCGTCCTTCCGGCATAACTGGCTTCAAAGTCTACTTCCCATCCCCGCCGTCTCTTACCCAGTCTCCAAACGTCTTTCTTTGGCGTCGAATGTCGGCAAAGCCAGGTCTTGTCTCCAGGAATCGGAACGGATTTCCGACATAGTCCTTATTTGCATCCATGTCGGCGCTGTTCGTCCCTTTCGTCCCCTCGCGCTCGATCTTCCCGGCCCACACATGCCACTGGATTGGCTTGAGCTGCTGTGTCCCAAGCACGAGGCCAAGACTTGCAATGAGCAATGCCGTGATAGTTTCGATGGCGATGTCGATGGGCAAAGAGGTCGTGGCCGGTTGTGAAAGTCCCGTAGATCGAAAGGTTTGGAGAGAGGAGAATTCTTGTGCGGAGTAGCATCTGGGAGTGTGCATTGAGATACAGAGGTCAGTGGATGCCGTTGTCGCTTCGGGCGATCCTGGGCACATGTGAGGGTTCTTACGAATGGGCGAGGAGGACGAGGCCAAAGGCCGTCGTTACTTTCGAAACCCAGGTCATTTCCTAGCTATATAGGTAGATAAATAGATAGATAGATAGAATAAGTGATTTCAGAGTAGAGGTTCGATTGGTATTTGAGGGAACTATTGTTGGGTCGTAGAGGACTAGATGTGCGTCGTGGCGAGTATTTCGAGCTTGATTTGTGGGTTCGAAAAATCAGGGGAAGGTACAGCCAGGTGTACTGAGCTCGTAAAACTAGGCTGATAACCCTTCTTTAATTGCATATTTTGCAGCTAAGCGATCCTCTGCATGACTTACACCAACCCCACGCGCAACTTTCTTTTAAGTCTAAACTCGACAATATATCATCACACTACCTACGGAGTACAAGTATGTCGTGCATGCGTCCCTACTAGTTGTCTTGCGGTCAGAACTCTTTCTACACATGTCTTTGTACATCGCCAGTCAGGAAAGCAATTGACAAACTGCTAATATTTACATCCCGCAATGTACAAGAGGCACGGAAAGAGAGAACAAATATTATACAAAACAAGCAGGTAACGAATAAAGGGAAAACAGCTACTGTAGCTCTGACATTTATGATAAATGTTGGAAGTGTAAACCTGTTAATATCTAGGCTACTGGCCAGAATTTGCGAGGCAACCAATGAGCAAACTCGACTGCCGGCAGCTGGCGTGCGACATGCGGATGTGAAACAACCATCTGGCCAAGGAGTAAGAAAAATATAAAAATACAAAACATCTTTGTAACGGAGAAATAAACAAGAGTCCCCAAGTGTAGTTCAATAACATGTAAAATAAAAAGTCAACCTCACAAAGATAAAATCAATTTAAACCAACTCCAATTACCAAAGCCCGCAAAACACCCGAAGCGAAAAAAGGGGAAAGGGGAGAATAAAAAGGGATAAGAAAACCCCACTGGCAACAGCATTATAACACGCACACGAATGACCATCGCAGGCTATAATCGCTGCATTCATTCACCTAAGGGTCGTAGTGTCGACAGGGTTTCAAACGCGATAGAAGATGCTCCATTAAGCTCCACCCAAACCATGCCAATTATCGGCCTCATTAACAGAATCGACTTTCCAGCTTTCGTTATCGCCCTGAAGATACTGAAGATGGTTATCTGGGATCAGACTCTCCTCCACCTCAGCAAGATACGGGCCAGCATATATCTCATTTGTGTCTGCTGCGGTGTGGAGGGTTGGCTGCCACTGGGATTCACCCAGCCCCCCAGTTGTGAGAACGGGGTTAGATATGTCGTACTGAGGGATACCATCCCTGGACATAAGCGAAGGATCGATCTGTTGCCCTACGCCACCGGCAGGGTGTCCATGGGAGCGGTGGTGGTGTGCAGCAGCCGGGGCCTGTGAAGCGTATTGTGCGTTGTATTCAAAGGATTGGTATCCTGTCGAATGTTGAGCAGGGCCTAAGCCCACGCCCATGCTTTGCTGTGCCGTGTTTGTGTACACCATGTTCTCGAGCTGATGGTGATGGCCTGTAGGAATATGGCGATAGTGTATTCCCGGCCCAGCCACGTGATAGTCCTCCGTGTCGTATGGCGTGGGGGTGTGTCTTGCCGGGTTCGCCAATTGTTGCGGATGTCTATGGTGATACGCGCCGTATGATTGTGCGTCGGGAACAGCCACTGTGGAATAGGGGGGTCCGTACGGCCCACCGTGCGGGTCCATTATAGGTGTCCTGCTGGTTGACCGATGCTTCGGATCCCGGTGACCCGAGGCTTCCCAGTCATCATCGACACCCGAATCTTCGCCAAACTCATCCTTGCCCTTCTTCCGAGGCTTTGATGGTGTGAATTTGTACTCCGGATGAGCTTTGCGATGATTGTCCCGCTCGATCACGGCCCAATCATTGAACTGCTGGCGGACGTTGTCTGGTTCGATGAACCAACTTTGGGCACACACCTTGGAGACGATCTGGTGCTTGGACTGATGTGCCCATTTTTTGGCTCGGTTTTGGTAAGCCTTTCTATACAACATAAAGGCGTTCATGGCACGTTTGACTTTGCCAGGCTCTTTGCCGTGATCGACCTCTTCATGCCGCTCGTCTGCAGACCTATGGACGTAGGCCTCGATATCAACGATCGGCATATCCCACTCCTTGGTGAGGATGCTGAGTGGTTGGTCGATTGTGCTGGCTTCTTCGCTGGTTGCTTTGGTGGACTTCTCCTTTCGCGTTAATGGAGGAGAGGCAGACAGAGACGGCGCCTTCTTCCTGGGTGTCGAGTTCTTTGCTACGCGGCCCGTCTTTACGGAAAGAACTTTCATTCCTTGTGTTGCCCTTTGCGGTGTGGCCATGTTGGATACACCAGGACTCCCGGAGAGGTGTTGCGGCGCGGCTGGCGGAGACGCTTCGGGTGTATTTAGGTTGTACACCTGTAAAGGTGTAAGTTAGTGAATCAATGTAGCATACCCCGGCGAACGGCGCTTTCTTTGCACCCAAGCAGCGGCCCTGACTTACTTGAGGTGTCGATGCTGAATGCGTCGTCTCATAGGCAGGGGCGTCTTCGCCGGTATGAAGAGCTGGGTAATGGAATGTTATCCCCTGATGGGGTTGTGTATATGCCATGCTCGGGCTGGCGTACTGGCGTACGTGCCGGGGTTCCGGTGTCTGGTACTTAGAAGCAGGACGAGGAATGATCTGGACAACCTCGGATGGCGTACCAGGACAGCGACGCTGTGATGCGATGCTGTGGTTCTGGAGAAGTTGATCGAAAATAGCGGGGGAGTGTTCGCGCACAGAGGGGGTAGGAGACGGCGGTATGATACGGTCCATTGAGCGAGAGCGTGCACCCTAGATCGTGTAAATGAAGGTGGCATATAATGAAATGGAGATAGAGAAGAAGACTGGGTAAGAAGAGCGAGAGCGAAGGCCAAAGAGGACGTAGAGGAAAGGGAGAAACCTGCTCGTGTCTCTACCTGCTCGTGTCTCTTGACACGAGGATGGATAGCTGTGAAAGGCACTGGGGGCGCCGCGGGGGGGGGGGGGGAGGGGTGCGGAAAGATTGGAAGATGAATGATATCAAAATGGCAATGTGTGGAGCATGTGTAGACGGAAAAGGAAAACAGCGACAACGGAGAATGCTCCTACTGAGTGCAGTCGCAACAGCGGTAGGATAGTCTTCTGCCAGGCGGTCAGACTGACAAACGGATGTATTCAACGGCGAACGAAAGCGAACGAAGACGGCCGGCGGTGTTAATGATAGTTGAGGGTAGCCCCGAGGCGTGTTTGGAAAGAGGCGAGGGAACTGTTTCCGGTTGTGATTGGTGCCGGCCCGCTGTACGTACTGATTGAGAGTCTTTCTTCGCCGTTTCTTGCTTTGGGGCCTGATTTCTCGTGTTTCTGTCTGGCCAGGTCGTTGGGGATAGGTCGTTGACGTATGGCTCTTGGTGAGGTTCTTAAATTTGGGAACCACAGGTTTTATTACTTGGGTCACCCTATAACTTTCGACCGCTGGTGCTATTGATTCTCTTGACGCTCCTGATGTCCTGAGTTGAGGGCGTGTGGAAGGGGAGAAGGGGGGGGGGGGGGGTGCCTTCCAGGTGGCTTGGCTGCGGCCTTCCGGATCCGGATCCGGACCTAGCGTGAATCGACAAGATCAGAGTTCGTCTACTTCCGGATGAGATGACAGAGACGAAATGCCCGGTCAAGGCGGCTGCAGTAAAATGACGAGGAAATGAATAACAAAAAAAAAGGCTGGAAGAAGGCCGTTGTGGCGCTTGCACCTCGTCTGGTGCGGCGGCTGTCTGCGGTGGCTGTTTGCAGTCTCGCCTAGTCTTGTTCCTGGTTTGCACGGCGAGCCGTTTTTTCTGTCAGATGGGTCACTTTCGACGCCCAATTCGCCACTGTCCCCGGAAGCTTGTCCTCACACCGACGGTCTGTCGTGCGTACAGCGTGGAAGTGACTCCGTCTGTCAGTCTTCTTCGAAGATGAGTGAGGCCTGGTCGTAGCTTGCCAGCGAGGTGTCTCTTTAGCGGTAGCAGCTAGTGACTGTAGCTTTTGCTTGCGGGATGTTGTTGGTGGGGACCGGGCCAGCTGCCACTGAAGGCAGCGGTTTGGCGGTGATGATTTGGTGCCAGGTGACTGCCGTAGTTGGTGTCGCTGGTGTCGCTGGTGTCGCTGGTTTCGCTGGTGTCTCCTGATGTTTCTGTAGTCTGTGATTTTTCTGCTGTTTCTGAAGGCCAATGTCTCTGATATGTCTTGGTCGGGGATATCTTGCCTTATGAGACCTGTACCTGCATGCATGTAGGATTTGATAGTCTTGTCAGGAGTAAGCGGGTTACCGTTTGTTTCAGCAATCCTTCTCTCTTCGAGCCATCTTACCGCCGTGATGTCTTATCGTTGACTGTCCTTGCTTTCTTTTGCTGTTCTTCGCTTCGAGTGTCTGCGATGCTCTGGATCTGGTTCGTCAATTTGCCTCCCTTCTGTTTCCTTTGTATGTCTTACATGTGCCGGGAAGTGTCCGTTATTTGTACATTCCTGGATACTTCTCTCTCTCGCTTGTTGTCTGCTGTCCGCTGTCTGTTGTCTCTCGTCTATCGTCTCTCATATCTGGCCTCTGGTCTGAGGCCTAGCCTTTTGCCCTTTGGCCTTTGTCTCTGCTGTCGTCCTACCAATCGTCGCGGCCTTGCTGGTTGCTGTTGGCTCCTACAGGCAGCGGACTTGATTCACTCTTCTTGCCCTGCGTCCCCCGGGTCACCTTCATCATCCCCTCCGGCGGCCGCATTTGTTTCTCGACTTGTTGGTCGGGACCTGCGCTCCACGCCTTTTGCGTTTGCGTCTTGATCTTAGCGTTTGCCATTTGTGACCGTCGTTGGTGTCCTGCCCTCCCTTTCACCCTTTCATCGTGCTTTCACTTCTGACCACCCGGCCGTCTTTGTCCCTTGTCCGCACCCTCGCCCTCGCACGCTTCCCCTGCCCCCCTTCTTGCCCCCGTCTCCGTCGATTCGTCTTCCCCTTCGGTTTCGAACCTCTTCCATCCTTTTTTATCTGTTCGTCTCTTTGTGGTGGACTCTATTCCCTCATTGCGCCCTCGTCTCTTTCTCTCCGTAACCCCATTGCTGTTGGCCTTACCAGGCCGTCCTTGTGCTCTCTCGGCGTCCGTGCGCTGCAACAGTAGGCAAATGCGCAAGTAATGCGAGGTGGGATCTGGCCCTGCCAAACTACCGTTTTCGGCTTTGAAACAAACAGCCGCTAGCACCAAAGCGAACTTTCAACCCCACAAGCCACATGCGCTAACAAAACCCGTCTGGGTGCACAGCGCGCTAGTCGACTTTCAACACATCAGCAACACCACACCCACGTTCCTGTTTGGGCGGTGTGGAGCGAAGGTCTGGACGATAATACGAAGAAGGTCACATACTTGAACCGATCGATTGGGAGCCTTAAACTACCCCGTACGCACACGGTCTTACGACGAACCCGGACGCTGCTGCCAACGGGACATCATTTGCGTGCGCGCCGGAAATGGGTTGGTTCAGCAGTTCTTTCTTTCAGGGCCGGTTTGACACACTCAGCTTTATGCTTGATTTTGCTCTTTTCCCGTCGTCTCGGATATTGTTCGTCAAACAGCATTGGGTGCGATGCTGACGCAAAATAAGGAAAATTCAGCCTTCGTCGCAAAAGACGACACCGTGTGCATAATATATTTTAGTACTCTATTCAGGCGGACATACGTCTTACAAACAGGAAAGAATTCACAGTAAACGCAGCCTGTCGCCCCTTATGTAATGTATATACGGTGGAGTGCTTCACTATCAGCGGCTTCGCGCATTCATAAAGGAAAAATTTAAGTACCTTATACCTTCCGAATGCGGCATTCGTAGCAATCCGCTCCACATGATCACCCACCCGGCTACATTTTATGTGCCTTCCCTATTTCCGGATTTTCTGTTCTTTGTTCCTGCGTGGCGTGGCGTGGCATGTTTGTGTTTCTGGCGTCTTCTCTGGGCGGTCGATCGTTGTCCCTTACGAATGTCACACCCAACCCTCTTCTTCAGGTGCCCACCAAAAAATAAAATAAATAAATAGTAAAATAAAATAAAATAAAATAAACTCGTTTGACGAGCTGTCTGCAGCGGCGCTGGGGGACACTATGGACGGATACTTAAGAGGAAATCACCGCAAATTGATCCCTGAGCCAGATTCTGAGGGCAACTTCCCCTGACAAGTGTGTGGAAATACGAGAACAAATCAACCGTGAAAATATACTATAATTTATTAATATCGACTAACCACACTATACTTGCAGCATCACAACAAAATCAACGTGGAATGTGAACTAGCTGCCGCCGGAAACGTCTGCGTACACCATGTGTTCTAATTCCTTCATTTTGGCCGACCTATGCTTGACGACCACGGGGCACATTCACACAGGTCCGATTTGGGTGACCCGATGTCTTTCTACGAGCTTCGCTGACTAAAGCAACGCAATCGTCGCTGCCACAGATGCAGCCACATACTTATACATGCTGTCAAGTGCCTGGGTTTTTCTGACTCTACAAAGCAGTGCAACGAGAATGTCAGGCAAAGTGGCAGCCTGTGTAAATCGTGCCTGCGATGGCCAGGTGCTTTCGGAGTAGGTGTCCCATATCACATACGAGGGGAAACGATGTACATCGCAAAAATTTGCTCCCGTAAGACACCTACGTGAGAGCGAATAGATACGACGAGCCAATCCCCACCAATAATGGGAGAGAAACATAAGATCAGAATAAACTGGTAAGATTTACCTCCTGGAATCTAAAAGGGGCAAAATGGCGAAGATAAGGGCATAAATGTGTTTCTTGTTGCTCTATTATCTTTCGTGTCCTTCTCAAGATGCGCATCATGTTCCCGAAAAGCTGTGAGCATAGTCAGCTGCTTGACAGTCTTAATATTTGCCAGTTCGGCGTAAGAAACGCCCTGTGAAACATATTCATCTCAACCAGGCCCTTCCCAAAACCTGAAACTTGCGTCTTTGTGGCTTTCCGCCTTATTTGCATCCAGTTGAGCCACGGCTAGGATGACAAAATTTCGGCAGAAGTTGGGCTCTCGCTGAATGGACTGTTTTAATATTTCACCCAGCCTCTTGATCGTTCATTTTGTCCAGTTATTACGAGCCCAGGGGCCCCCTCAGGGGGAGTTGGCCTTTCCATTACTCGCACACCATAAACATGTTGGGAACGTACGCACGTCCACACCGGCAGCCTGCAGAAGAGCAATATCCTAGCTTTAATTTGCACGTGGTTGTGAGGTTTGATCAGTCGCAATGTTTGAAAACGACTGTCGATGTGCCAGACCCTCGGGTTTGACAGGCGGCATAAGGATTTGTTGAGGCGTGGAAGGAGACAAGGCCGCTGACGGCGGTATGGAGATTGACATTGGGCTACCGCGTGGGAGTACAGCAGTCTGGCCGCTCGAAGCTGCTCGGGAGTGCTTGATTGGTGACATACCGCCACTCGATGGTAAAAGTGATGGTGAAGACTGCATTAAAGGTTCAGCTACAAGGCTCTCTTCTTGTCGATGTTGCAGCCGCGGGGTTGCGAGGGCGGTTGGAGGCAGTTGAGCGGGTAACGGTTGCGCTCTACACGTGGTTGTAGCGGCTGTGGGCGTGAGTGGGTCCAGATTTATCATCGGTTGTGATTGTAGGCTGTGTGGAAGCATAGGGGGAGGAACAGGCTGCTCATAGATTGTCCCATATGCATGTGACTTGCGCGGAGACTGGTCTGGTTGAGAGAGACCGGGATGGGGCGCTGCAAAAGGATTTGTATGTTCGTTTCGTGTTGGCCACGGCATCGGGTTGGAACCAGACTCCACGCTGGAATCGCCGTTGGGACTCCATCTTGGAAGAGTTGTTACACCGTCTACCTTCCCCGGAACCGTGCTGATGCCATTGCCCGCCTCTGGGAGGGCAAGAACAGGAGCACGCGCAACTTCTTGAGGATAGGCATCAAAGTCGGTATCATCGTTATCCAGTTCGCTGCCAAGAGTCGACGCCGGGGTCGGCACCACCGGATTTGGTAACACTGACTGTGTCGCAACAGGCACCCGGTAGTCAGTAGCTCGAGCGGTGGGCTGGGTTGGCTTCTCAGGGGCAGGTGCGTTGATCTTGAGTCTTATAACGGGCCGGGCGAATGGCTGGCCGTCCGCCAAAGTGGCCGCACTGCGTTTGCAGGGATCGCAGACAAAATGAAAATCATCTTTCTCAGCCTCTTTCTCGTCAATACCCAAGCACCTGCTGTGTTGCCAAATGCTGCATTTTTCGCAGGACACGCTGTGCTGGCCGTCGTCAATCTTGCCATGAAGGCCGCAAATGCAGTCAAACGTCCATTCATCTTCCAACTCATCGCCCAGGTCCCTAAGCGCTTCTTTGTTTTTCTCAATTTCCGCCTGCCGTCTGCGTTCAGATATCCGACCTACGGCATTGTCGACAGACTTGCCATCCTCGGAAAGCTGTGCTAATTCGTATTTGTGCCGCGCTCGTCGATTTTCGCGTTCGTGAAGGCGGTTTTCCCGCGATAGGAGACGAGCCTCGCGCTCTTTTTCGGCCTTGCGTTGTCTTTGTTCTTGTTTTCGTAACGCCTCTATCTCAAAGCGTCGCTTCTGTTCTTCCTCCCGTAGCATCTCCTCCTGCTTTTGCTGCTCCTGTCGGCCAGCAATTCGACTTGACCTCTTTGCATTGGCCATCTTTGCTAGGTTCAGCAATGCCTTTTCGTGCTCCTTCTCTCGCTTCTTCCTTCTTTCCTCTTGCTGCTCAAGAATAGGGAGGAGGTGCTCGACAAGTTTTTCGTGCAAAACCCGCTCATTAGGATCCTTCTTGCTGGAGATCGAGGCCAGTAGTGAGCGCAGCTCGTCCAAAGACACCGCGACGCACTCCCATGTCATCCCACCCAGGCCATCATCGATGTCCTCTTCAATATCATCGTTCGTTGCGTGTGTTTTTTGATCATCTCGTGGGACGGTATGATCTTCATCGACCTCAGCTGCGTTGCCAAGGGTTGTAGAAGAGACGCGGCGCCGCTTCTCTCTGCGCCTTTCCAGTGCCCTGGCCTTCTTGGTGTTCTTTTTTTGTTTGGGAGGTGCGGGGGGCGCCTCCGTCAAACGATAAACGCGGTTGTCGTCAAGAACAAAGTAGGCGCGGTCGTCTCTATCCCATCCGAAAGGCTCGATGCGCTGGCGAAATTTGATGCGTTAGCATAAAACGCTAACGGACGAGGAGAATTTGGCCCAAAATTGAGCCTGCGTGCGAGTTCACGCAATCTCTCTTCCACCTCCGGGCTTCATGTCGAACTGACAGTGCCTTTACAATCTCACAACTTACCCAAGTTGTCTGGTCTTGGTCGGCATCCTTTTGTTCTGCCATCTTTTCGCGAAGCTTTTCTGCATTCATCATGACGAAAGATGTCATTTGGTGAAGTATTCGAATCTATTGTAAAATACGCATATTAGGGGCGTTTCCGCTGACAAAAACAATAGAACATTGGATACGTAAGAATGTACCTTTTGAAAGATGCTAAAACTTGCAAATCTCGCAGGAACTTCGTCGTTACCGAAGGGATTTGGCAGCTCGGGAGCCTTTGTTGCAAACTGGCGCCTGGTGTATTCGTCGAAGAGCTCAGAACTACAATTCTATTAGCCATCGCCCATAGCGAATGAGGATACAGTAAGAGAATTGAGCTAGGTCGTACGTCAAGCCACGATGAGACGAAAGATATTTGAGGAGAGCAAGTCCAATATCTTGCAGTACAGTCGAGTGTGGGCTTAAGCACTGCACTTCCAGGTCCTAAGAGATTCGCGTTGTCAGTGAGACTCGAGCCATAGACTGAGCAGGGTTCAGAGAACGAACATCAATGTCTAGATTGTCCAGCTTGACCACGGCGCCAAAGATATAAAACCACTGGCAGAGACTGGCAAATTGCCACATGTTACGAAGGCGGACAAGCGTCGATAGAACTTCGGGGGGGTGAGGGTCCGCCCCATCGTCATGTCGTCGCTTCCGGAGGGAATCCATCGAAAATATTCGATCGCAGCTCCGCGCCTTAAAGGGTTCTGTCGGCTAAATTTGTTCGTGCTCAGCAGGTGTGCGCTTTGTCAGGCGAGTCGTTGTTGCATAAAGGCCGTGTGGTTGTTGAAAAAGTAACCCTAAAAACGAATGTTGTTACAGTCAATCACGAACGGTAACAGGGCACAACCGATATTTGGGCCATCAGGAAGGTTCGAATGGGAAACAAAAAGGCCGTACAGATAGTTCGGTTCGAGTCGCAGCGTCTGTAAGATCCCGGATGGGGTCGCTACTTCTTAAGGCCTATACGAAATATTGCGTTTCAACCATGACCATTGTTAAAATCGCGACCTAGACGCGCTCAGCCATTTAAGTAAGCCAATCTAGAAAGAAATTCTTGGCGCACCTTATCGCCACGTGATATGCGATTGGATAAGATTAGGTGTCATGTCGTACGACGTACAAAGTACGTGTCGTCCATCATGCGACATATTCTCTACCTACTAGGTGGGTCCGATTCGGCTGAAATCTATTTTTACGATCTGATGCGAAGTTGCCTACCGAGTCGTACACGGGCAGAAAATACCCCATAATACGTTGGTTGTACCTTTAAATCTGCATGCCTGCATGCTCGTAGAAGCAAGGGTTTCCAGGGATGAAGGTACTTCAAACAGCCCCTGAATGGCTTGTGTATATTTACAGTGTCTGTATAAAAACGCACTGTCTCATTTATTCGAGAATCCTGCAGGAGATGATAATAGAACACTGTGTGAATTTACTGTGAACGCTGCTCTGAAGTTTGCTTGTCTTTGTGGCAGGGAGTCCGGGAGCCTGCGTTTCACTTTCCCTCAGCCTCCAACATTGGCTTCAACGCGCTGCATTACGGCGGCAGACTGCTCTTGCCATTGCAACGAAATTCCATCTGTTTGGACCCAGTCATACTGTCTCCTTGATCTGGCCCTTCCCTCGTCACTTTGCCTTTATTTTCTTTCCGTTACGAAGATAACAATACACACTTCACTCTGAACCCTCTGCAGAGTCGTGACGACCTTTTTTATGGCACTTGATTGCCTCGAAGGCCCTGTCTCCCTTCACACCTGGCCCTTGTTGCATCGCTGGACGAGCTTCTCCTGTTGGGTACACCGGTGAACGATCTATCGCGACGTCCTCTCGTAGCTGCTCACGTCTCTCACCCTTCCTGCCGACTACACGACCGTGCCCATGACCAGACAGCTTTCGCACAGTTAGATATCCGGTTTCCGAACTCGGCGCTGCTCGCTGGCGGCATCGTGTCCGATATCACGCACCGGTGTCACCATGAACCACGCTGCTTAACAGACATTTCCGTGTCTCCGCCAAGGGACTGTTCTAAGGGCGCACCGATTTCACCACCTCTTTTATTATTCCACGTCCAACCGTGCAAAATGGCTCGCCGTCCGGGTGAATTTGATGATGGCTATGCTTTTGTTTCGAGCGATACAGAGCTCTCGCCTGCCGACACATACTCTGCCAACCCGCAAACTCCATATGAGCAGCGCCCCTCTGTTCAACCACCCGTCCCAACATCGACACACCTTCCCGATATCACCACATACTGGGCAGACACAGGTCTCTCCACCCACCAGTCCCTTCCACATGGCGCTCCGCAACGTGGCAATGAGCTGGCGAGCCCCGAGTCTCCTATCGATCCTGCGGCTCTCCAATTTGCTCTTCCGCCAAACATATTTCAAACTGGCCCAATCTCAGTTGATCGAGACTTTGAGCCTCCTTCTGCTGACGCGTTTGCCGCAATCTCTACTTCTTACTACGACGATCACAGCCACTTTGACCCCAGTAGCGACTCCGACCGTGTTCCTTTGACAGCAAGTGCAGAACCAATATCTGGGTCCTCTGGCGTACCACCAGATGGCATCCAGTCGCACAACAGTTTCCAGACTGTTGCCGGTTCAGATGGTGGCCAAGAAGAAACCCGTGATTCGAGGATGCTCGGGTATGATCTGGAACCGGGCTACGACACAGGCGGCCGGCAACGCAGCTATGGTAATTCTCTCACACCTGACAGTACCACTCGGCGGCCAAGATCTACATCCACAACAGGTGCACTTCAAAAAACAGCATCCATTGTGAGGGCCATGTCGCAGCGCGTCGTAGACATCAGTGGAGGTGGTGAGGCCCTGGAGCAACAGGCCCTTCGCGACCGATCTCGTTCACCTAGCAGAGATGCCCAAAGCACACACCATTTATCATCTCCCGTACTTGTCGATACGTCATATCAGCCCCAAGTTTTTGGCACTCGACTTGAGAAAAAAGGTGAATCCGAGTTCGCCGTCTCTCAGCCTCCCCCGCTCTCTTATTACAGGGCCCCGATGCCGAATCCGTTGAGAGGCAAGTCTCTCGGTATTTTTTCTGCAGACAACACATTCCGATTGTGGCTTTGTGACCTTCTTATGCTTCCTTGGGTCGAGTCATTCATCTTAGTCTTGATTGTCTTGCAAGCGGTTCTTCTTGCAGTCGAAGCCGCCCCAGATGTCTGGTCTCAAGGAAATGGACGTCCTGAACGTTGGGGAAAAACTCCATACGACTGGGCTAAGCTCGGCCTATTCGTTGTCTTTACGCTTGAGATCATAGCTCGGATAATCGTATCCGGCTTTGTTTTTAACGCTGCCGAATATAGTACCATAGACAGAAAACGAGGCATGCGCCAAGGCGTCCGCGCCGCCGTGACCGACCAATACCGATCATTTTTCCAGCCCCAACGACAGCGGTCAGTGAAACGGCCCCCAGTGGAAACTTATGGACCTTCTTCTTTCGCTCGGTCCTTTACACTGATGCAAGGCCAACCCCTGCCGGAGACGTACGAAGAACAGCAGCGGATGCAACTGGCCCGGCGAGCTTTTCTGAGGCACAGCTTCAGTCGCTTAGATTTCGTTGCTGTCGTGTCATTCTGGGTTTCATTTGTACTCAGCATCACTGGTATAGAGTACCAGTACCATCTATACGTCTTTCGTATGCTAAGCTGCCTTCGCATCGTTCGACTTTTGGGCATCACCAAAGGAAACGCTGTCAGTTTTTCACTCTCAAATATCTTATCGCAGCTTCGATGTCTGGTTTTCATTGACTAACATGTTTATAATGAACTAGATCATTTTAAGGAGCTTGAAAAAAGCGGCCCCGCTACTTGTCAGGGTCTCCTTTTTGATCGTATTCTTCTGGCTTCTGTTCGCTATCATTGGTGTGCAGAGCTTCAAGTCCAGTCTCAGCCGCCAATGCGTTTGGCTAGATCCCACACAACCCGATAATTTGACTGCGGCTTACACAAACGAGTTTGGCTTTTGTGGTGGACACCTGAAAAATGACTCCAATCCCAATCCAACCACGCTTCCATGGGTCATGATGACCGAGGCCGGGAACCTGAACTCGCTTGTTAATGGAACCCGCAACGGAAAAGGCTTTGTTTGTCCTAGGGGCTCGATCTGCCTCCAACAAGAAAGTCCCTACAACGCCACAGTCAACTTTGACGACATTCTCCATTCTCTGGAGCTCGTTTTTGTCATTATGAGCGCAAATACTTTCAGCGATCTTATGTATTACACAACAAACTCTGACTACCTTGCCGCTGCCCTTTTTTTTGCTGCTGGTATTATGATCATGATGCTGTGGATGACAAATTTGCTTATCGCAGTCATCACCTCGTCATTCCAAGTCATCCGAGAAGAAAGCAAAGGAAGCGCGTTCACTGCGGATGAGAATGATTTTTTGGCGTCACGCCCAGACAGCGGGCTTCGTAGAGCTACCATGCTCCGACGTATCTATCAGAAGACCACTTGGTTTTGGATCCTCTCCATTGCCTTCGATTTATTCGTTCAAGCTTTTCGCAGTGCTTCGCACGAGGGCAGGATCGTTTTTATCAACACCTGCGAAGTCGTCGTGACTGTCCTGCTTGATATCGAGATAGTCTTTCGATTTTCATCGGATTGGAGGCGGTTTCATCACAGCATACAGAATCTTTTTGATCTTGGGCTTGCTGTTATTACATCTGTCATTTTGATACCACCGATTCACAACTCAGGTCAAGTCTATGCATGGTTGACTGTTTTTCAAATCCTCAGGGCTTACCGAGTGGTTCTTGCCATCCCAATGACACGAACACTGATAAAATTGGTCCTCGGAAACGCTACCGGTATTGGAAATCTAATGCTGTTCGTCTTTTTAATCACGTTCCTCGTCTCGATTTTCGCCGTCCAACTCTTTCGAGGCGAAATAACACCGCAAGACTCGAGCGGCAACGACATAAGGATTACCTTCGCCTCTATATTCAACTCGTTCTTGGGCATGTATCAAATCTTGTCAAGTGAGAACTGGACGGCGGTCCTGTACACTGTTACGGGCTTCACGAAGCGCCTTGACACGGCATGGATTGGTGCCATTTTTTTGATTGGCTGGTTCATCTTATCCTACTTCATTTTGATCAATATGTTTATCGCCGTCATCCAAGAAAATTTTGATGTGAGCGAAGATCAAAAACGACTGGAACAAGTCAAGGCATTTCTTCAAAGACGAGAGCTTGGAACTTCTGCCAGCAATCTTTCACTGTCTGCAATGTTCTCCTTAGGACGGAGAGCAAAACGAAAGGACCCCCTCGACTACGGACCTGGTATGATGGAGATGCTCCTAAAAGAAGCTGTTGTTCGCGAATTCTTAAACGAAGCTTTAGATCCGCTCCAGGATTCTACTGCGGGAAATCAGTCGTCTTCTCAAGTTCAAGATGTTCTCAGTGGCACGGCCAAAGCTGGAGTTTTGCCGGTAATTTGGGCGAAAGTGTCAAGATGGACATCCAGCAAAGATCCAAATCCTTTTTACTCTAATGTTCGATTCGATGTTCAGAATGAGAATTTAGACCCGAGACAAATGGCTCGACAGGCTGTATCCGCGACATCGGCACGGCGTAAAGCTCAGCGCGAGTACCTAGGACGCCATCCAACCTACAACAATTCACTGTTCATTTTTACACCCAGAAACCCACTTCGGCGTCTTTGCCAGCGCCTAGTTGGTCCGGGTAGAGGCTCCGAGCGGTTTGACGGAGTGGAACCGAACAAGTACGCCTGGTACACTTTCTCGGCTTTCATTTACGCGTCGATCGTTGCCATGGTCATCATTGCGTGTGTCACTACTCCTTTGTACCAAAAGCAGTATTTCGATGGTGGCCATACGTTCAGCTTCAAAAACTGGTTTGTCTGGACCGACATGGCTTTTGCCATAGTGTTCACTGTCGAGGCAGTCGTCAAAATTATCGCGGATGGCTTCTTTTGGACACCCAATGCGTACTTTCGCAGTTCCTGGGGTATCATTGATGCAGTCGTATTAATTACACTGTGGATTAATGTAGCGACATTGTTTGCCAATGATGGGGCCGTTTCTCGAGCCGTTGGTGCTTTCAAGGCTCTCAGAGCACTGCGTTTGCTGAATGTCAGTGATAGCGCTCGAGAAACATTTCACTCGCTTATCATTGTTGGCGGCTGGAAAATTCTCAGCGCCGCATTTGTCTCTATTTCTCTCCTCATTCCATTTGCCATCTACGGTCTCAATCTTTTTCGGGGGCAAATGGTCTCATGCAACGACCAAAGCGGGTCGGTGCTGCGTCTTCAGGATTGCACAGGCGAGTATCTAAATACACCCTTCAGCAACGACTGGCAGCTTTTGTCACCTCGCGTCGCAGAAAACCCATACTACAGCTTCGATGATTTCGGATCCTCGATTCTTATTCTGTTCACGATAGTCAGCCAAGAGGGTTGGGTCGACGTGTCTTTTCAAGCCCAGTCTGTCACAGGTGTTGGCAATCAACCCCAATTTGGAGCAGCCCAAGGCAATGCGTTGTTTTTCGTTGCCTTCAACCTGCTCGCGACCATCTTTGTGCTTACGTTATTCATCTCCGTTTTTATGCGGAACTATACGGAGCAGACTGGTGTTGCATTTCTCACTGGGGATCAAAGAGCATGGCTCGAATTACGCAAACTTTTACGACAGATATCGCCGTCGAAGAGCTCCTACGATGATTCCAAAAACAAACTCAAGAAGTGGTGCCATAAACGTGCTATTGAAAAACACGGAAAATGGTATGTGGGCATCACCATGGTGCTGGTGCTGCACCTCATCCTCCTCATTTTAGAATACTCGTCAGAGCCGGACTGGTGGACCAACACGCGTGACTACGTCTTCCTCGTCTTCACTCTCGTCTACATGGCAAACATATCCATCCGCATTGTCGGCCTCGGATGGAGCCGCTTTCGAAGAAGTTCTTGGGATGTGTTCTCCATGTGTGCCGTGGCCGGGGCTTTTGCGACATCCATTCTGTTCCTTGCCGAACCTGGCCAGGACACGTTCATACAATTGCACAAGTTCTTTCTTGTGGCTATCGTTTTGCTCCTCATTCCCCGAAACGATGCACTTGACCAATTATTTAAGACTGCAGCGGCCAGTGTGACGACGATTGGCAGTCTTCTGGCCACTTGGTTGGTTTTCTTTTTGGTGTTTGCTATTGCAATGACGCAATCTTTCAGTCTGACCCGGTTCAGCTCGCAAGAAACAAATAACATCAATCTGCGAACTGTTCCGAATGCGTTGATTCTATTATTCCGAATGAGCTGTGGTGAAGGATGGAACCAGATCATGGAAGATTTCGCGGGTGTCGAGCCACCGCTGTGTGTCGAGGCACCGACCTTTTTTGGCAGCGACTGTGGCAGCACAGCCTGGGCAAGGGTCCTGTTCATTGCATGGAACATCATCAGCATGTACATCTTTGTCAATTTGTTCGTGTCGCTTATCTACGAAAGTTTCTCGTATGTTTACCAGCGGTCCAGTGGACTCGCTGATATCAGCAGAGACGAGATACGGCGTTTCAAAGAAGCTTGGCGCAGCGTGGACCCGAACGGCACGGGGTTTATCTCCCGCGAAGCATTTCCTCGCCTCCTCGGAGAGCTGTCTGGCGTGTTCGAAATGCGTATTTACAATCACGAGGACTCAGTGCGAAGCATTCTCGAGTTTGCACGGAACGATGACACGACGCCTCAGGCGCGACATGCTTCGTTGGCATCCCAGACTGCACTCACGGGTGTTAACCTGCAAAAGCTCAACGACCGTATCAACCAAATCGACCTAAACCGTGTTCGCGAGCGGCGGCGGCGGTTTAACATATTTTACGAAGAAGTCATGGTGTCTGCCGATCCAGACAAGGGCATTTTCTTTACGACGGTGCTGATGATCCTGGCTCACTACAACATCATCAGCGACAGTAAGAGCTTGAGGTAGGTTTTGTTTTAGCACGTGGAGAGACGTCTTACTTTCTACCGGATTTGAACAGGTTCCTAACTGGGCGTTTTCTTCTTCTTTTCATTTAGGCTTGAAGAATTCTTGCGCCGGCGTGCGAGGCTCCAGCGGGTTGAGGAGGAAGCACGACGTAGGGTTGTCTTGGGATTTTTCAACACGCTGTAAGTATCTAGCTCCGTCAAAACCCTCCCCCCATGTGCATCCGTCCTGTGTCCCTAACCCATACTTCGCAAACAGCTATTGGTCGAGAAAATTCAGACGGCACATGGAACAAAAGCGGTCAGCACGCATGACCGGCGTGCCCCAGCTTGGTATACCCGACATCCTTGTTGACGACGAAGACGACCGGACGTCCGGTGTGGGGGCCGGACACAGCACCGGCGCGGCATCGTTGCAAACAGCAGCGACGTTTCTCAGTGCCGATCACGCAGCCGGGCCAGCACAGCACCATAGGTCCTGGTCGGGTGCAAGCATAGATATCAGCCTTCACGACACAAACTATGCACATCCCTTGAGTGCTCCACGTACTGGTGGACTCTCTTCACCAACGAGTCCTGGAGGACTGCAACCACAAAGGCATCACTACAACCCCAGTGCATTCAGCTTTGAGCTGCAGGAGCCTAGTGCCCAGTTTGAAGCCGATGGTAGCAGGCGTGGGAGCGCTGTGAGTGCCATGAGTGGTGCGAGCGGTATGAGCGGTGTGAGCGGAGTGAGCCCTGGCCTTGTGAGGGAAATGCTCGATGACTCGGTGTGGGTCGAATCGATCCGGAGAAGTGCTACACAACGCCGAAGCGGCTGGGGTACTTAAAGCACATGGATTTTATCGGCCTCGTGTTTCCTTTCGTGCCAGCACCTTTGGTCTTCTTTTCTTTTTCTTTTGCTTTTCTTTTCTTTTTCTTTTTTTTCTTCTTGATTTGTTTCACTACTACTACTTTAAGTGTTCTTGTACCAGGATTGTTCTTCGGTGTGGTAACGACGACAAGCATGACGTTTTTATTCTTGGGGCGAGAGGGCGTTCCGTTGTTGATAGTGAAGCCGAAGCGTTGCACAGCTGTTAGCCTATTTCCCATTCTTTGTTCCTGTGCTACTCGCGTCCTTTCTAATACATAGCTAATCCCTATGTTCGTGTTATGGTTTAATCGATTATAGGTTTCTTTGTCCCGTGGTTGTTCTCATCGCCGCATATCAGTTGAATGCTGGGGCGACCAGGGCAGAGCAAATAGGATTTTGTTAATCGCCTTCTTTCTTATGGTCATGTAATCCGAACCGCAAGGCACAGTCTCCTCCCTTGTTTGATCGTCCTTCCTTCCAACGGGACAGGCTGGGGATCAACTTGGCCAATTCGACGTGGCACTTACACAAATTTCTCGTCGCCGTACTTAACACAGTGCAAACAGCTGGACGTCATGCACCGTTGCAAGACACGGCCGGCTTGGTTTAGGTAATTCTACGCCTCTCACGTCTGGCCAAAGAGAGAAGGGTTGCAGAGAGAACTGCGCAGTAATTACGACGTGTTATTATTACAAAGCATAAGGACGCATGCTAATTACAACCCAGCCCTCTCTAAAAAAAACAATAGCTTAACTAGATTCGCCCACCTCCCTAGTTCATTCGAGCATTTTACGCTGCGTTGTTGATGATACCCAATCGGCGGCTTGGCACTTGGTGTTACAAGTCAGGAATGGAATGTGCGAGCCTGATCAAGTCGTTTCCTTTTGAAACAAGCCGTTGCGGTGCCCTGACTACCCATTTTGTCGGCCTCTGGATGTTAATTACGTCGTTATTATAATTCGAAATCATTCTTCTCGCCGCCCTCGCCGCCCTCGCCGCCCTCACCGCCCTCGCTGATCCCTCTGGCAACATTTCACCTTGGGAATCTTGTTTATGCTTATCGACCTCCCACTCTTTATTCCCATGCCCGATTTCACATTCCTCGCCTACCCTAGTCGTCTCGCCTGTCGGCTTTGCCTCCCCAGCAAGGCGTTGCTGCCCTCGCTGCTCTTGACGATCCTGCCATATACCAATCTGTTCTTGCGGAAAATGTTTGTTGCATCATGACGTCCGTCGAAATGAGGGTCGCAAAACGTCGCCTACTACGTCGTGCATTTCTGGCTAGTTGTCACTGCCGCCTTTAAACTCTCGGAGGACTTGACCCTGGATACTACGTCGTACTACTGCGGAGCATTACTACGTACATCCGGCAAAGCTCAAACGCAGCTCGAACTCTGAAACATGTCACTCAGTACTCTCTTTTCGGCGCACGGACGGCGTCACAAACCCTCGTTTGTCTAAAGTCGGGTTTGCCGTTGCTTCTGCGAGTATTTCGCCATAAATTTTGCCGTTTCACCGCCACCACCAAAAACGCATTTTCTTTGAATATTTTTAATCGGCACCCCTGATTTTATATTGCTGTGTGGCTCCTCTAGCACATGAGCCTGAACGCTGCACGGAGGAATAGGGGCCAAAGACGTGAGTATCATATCACAATGCCTATTTATGCTGTGGGGCCTCGTTTTGTGTTGGAGCTCACAAATCTGTGTCATACAGCTTTTGCCTTGTCGTGCTCAAGAGAAACCCCATTTTTATCAGCCAGGCTGTACAAAGTCCAACTGGCGACATCCTCGCCATTGAATGCACCTGGCAAGAAAAGTACATACTCGCCCGCAGCTTGTCCCATTTCGTCGTCCGGAGTAGTCCGTAAAAAGCTTCAAAAAAACCAACCCTTTTTTATCCTCCAGGACACGGTAGACGGACGCGTCGACGGCAAACTGTGGCTTCATCCCTGCGTCACTCATCCGGTCGTCCCAACCGCCGTGTTAATTCCCCTATTTTGGCTCCCTCCTCCCCCCTCCCTCCCTTCATGCCTGAAGGCGTCCAGTGCACCGCGACGGACCCCACCGACTCAACACACGTTGAAGCCCCCCTGCGGGAGACCTGAATCGATGCAGGGTTTTGCTACGAGTCACCATTGAGACGCAATACTCCGTACGGAGTAACACGAAGTACATCTACTGTACTTCGGATGGGGCAGATGTCTTGACACAGCCAGTACATAACCCATGGATTGCCCCGTCTCCCATCGCATCGGCTGCCATTTTGATTAAGCAAGCAAAGCGAAAAGCCTCTTTCACGGGCTCTGTCTGTGGTACTGCGCAACACCTGGCCTCCTGCCACATCTACATATGTCCGTTGCCCGATCTCTTCTGGAAAGCAGCAGGCTATCCTCTCGTTTGAACCTCAATTCATACTTTTTGTTTCCCATTGTCGGCACCCCGTCCTTTCTCAGCGCCCTTTTCATATCCCATCGAATGTCTGCCACGCTGAGCTTCTATCAAAGTCAATACATTTTTTATTCCACTGGGCTGTGCCTGGCCAATCCACTCACGATTTACCGATCATAATTATTCCCGTCGAGCTTTGCCTCGTCTCCTTCTCGTTCTTTCCTCATCCTCCTCACGAAGGTATACGGGCCCGTGATTCCATACAGTATACGACAACATAATCGTATAAGCCGTACGCGCTCCAACGTCTACGCAAGTCTACCCAAAATGCAGTCGTCTCAATTTCATGCCTTGGCCGCTCGCTTGTCCCCCCAGAAGTTGCGTATCTCGCTCCGCCGCGCGTCTACATCTTCTACCGCCAGTAGCAGCAGGGATTCTTGCTCGTCGACAGACAGCTCCCCATTGAGCACAATCAACAGCGTCATCTTTCGCCAACCGTCCATTGTGAACATGGAGGAAGAGCGTAAAAGCTACGGAAGCGAGCTTTCCCTCCTCGAACCCCGACCAATTGTCTACTGGGGTGGATTGGAGGAAAGACTGGGCTCACTCTAAACTCACATCCACTGGCCTTTCCACTTTGTTGTCTCCGTTTGTCTTCCATCTAGTGTTCTTGCTGAATGCACACAAGAAAAGTGCTTTTATTTGTTTCTTTTACGATTTACGTTTTTCCTGGTTTCCTTCTTTTTCTTTTCCTTTGTTCCCCCCATCGCTTCAATATGACATGACCCTCGCCGGGGGGAAGGTTTGGCGCAAGGCGTTTCGGTGGCATACCTCTCACCAGAGAGGGCTTATACGTTGTTTTTATCCATACAAATTGTTAGCTCTCAACCAACTAAGGCTGCTGCTTCCATGTACTGTGTGCGCTCTTGCTTCGAAAGTAGCTATGCTAGCAGTTAAGTTAGGTCGCCATAACAACAAACTACAGTATGCACCACACACTTTCCAATCGAATCGTAGAGTAGTGACGGGTTCTGGAAATAGGGACCATTCGTGATCATACCATTAGTACGTCACACGAATAACTGAATTACTTCATGCCGCTTCCTAAGCTGCCTGCCAGTGCCATGAAGGCGAAGAGCACATATAGAACGGCTTCTAAACCCGGGCAAGTATCAAAAGAACAATGTTACAAGATGACGGACATTCGAAAATGGTCTCATACCATTACACCTGTGCGGTTATATCTAAACACCGAGCGCCCATCCAAGCAACAACAATAAATGCAAACATCATGAAAGGCGCGCCAAGGGTGCGTGAACACCAGGATGACAAAACAGCAAACAACAATCAACTTAAAAAGGATCGAGAAAGTAAGAAAATTGTGATCCGAGCACCTAAGGAGACAGGGTTTGACGAACTCGGAAGACCAACAAAAAAAATCCAATGCGCCTTAAAATAAAAACGATGCCCGTGGTAGGAAAAGGATCCTATAAGTGTTGCGACATAATAGCGGCCGTACACCGCTGCTAGTGATCACTCCGTGGCCGATACGCTTCGGATGCAATTGCAGCACAGGATAATGTTGAGGCTGAGAACCACACGATGCCCAGACGTGGTCGGGCTGCAGCCAAGCTCGTAACGGTTTACTCATGAGATCTCATCCACAGACAGGTCGGTATCCGTGATGCCAAAATGAACAGCATTTTTTTTCGCCCATTGGCGGGTAATAAGTGACGCTGGTTTCGTTAGTAAAACGCCCATAAAGTATATTCCGCCAAACAGTGGATCGTGTTCGCTATCGTCATAAAGTAGGATATTAAGCGGGTGTTGGGTTCGGCTATTCGTAAACAGTACCTTTCAAATATTTCTTACTAGCATATTTCTTGAAGAAAGCTTCGTGCGTAGAAGGGCGAGCGAGGTAGTCAACCATAAGAATGGCAACTGGTTCGATATCATCCTCGGTATAACCTGCATAAAAGGACAACGTCGCATCCTAAAGTCTGTTAGCCAGGAAACAATTTGGAACAATACACAAGCCGAGTGTTTCCCAGCCATAATCACTCCATTGCATGTACACTGGCAAACAAGCTACATGTATCAGGCGGATCTAAAAAACATACCCACTCGCCCCGGTCCAATATCAGACGGGCAAGAAACATAGCCGCCGCAGCAACATGGCTGGGACGATACGGCATGAAGCGGTGATCCAAAAGGCTGATTTCAGTCAGGTACTTTGCAACCGTGCGCGTCTGTATGTCGTAGTTGTCGGCTTTCGATACCCGACGGAGAAAGTTCATAGGGTTGGGATAACTGAGATCATAGTTGAGGGTGCCAAGCATGAACCGCTCGGCACTCAAAATTTCAGCCTCAGTGAAGCCATCATCTGCAACATGGCGGAAACTGCCGACGGAAGGAGACAGCACTTCCTCGTACTTGGCCGCAATGAACATGGCAGTGACCCCGACGAGCTGTAGTCTATCGAGCTGGACAACCTTGGCGGACAGGAAACGGTCGACGATATTGACAGCAAGAAAAAGAGTTTCCGGTAGAAGGTGGAAGCGGGTATGCACTTCGACTAACCAGTCAACTAGCACACCTCGTGTTTTCCAATCAAGCTCATCCTGGTGGTTCATGTAGCGCGGGTTGGGCAAGGAACTGCATTCCAAGTCACGTAGGTACTCGAAAATGTCCGCTGCATACTCAGCGACCATCTGTGGATCGTCCAAGTCCTCGCTGTCCAGATCCTTGACGCCTTCGGGATAGACGAAGTCAGTCGGCACGAACTCTTCAATTGTGTCGTTGAGCGGTAACGAAGGGTCCTGTTCTCTGGTGCTGTCACTGGTTGCAGGCTCCTCAAGCCGGGACGTGACGGTATGTGCCTTTTTGCGGACTGGCTCCTGGTCCTCAGTAGGCGCGTCGTCCTTAATGGTGGCGACGGAAGCCGATGCGGTAGCAACTTTTCTTTTCTGTACGGTGCCAATCGTTCCGTGTCCAGATTTCTTAGCATCGGTCGTCTTTTTGCTAGCCTCCTTCGTTGAAAGGGCTGTACGACCTGTAGAACGAGACGTATTCTTCTGGATGCCTGTAGGCTGTGCTGCCTTTGACACAAGTCCAGCTTTACCGGCAACCTTCTTCGCCTCTGCCACCTCGACCTTGGTGACGTTGCTCACGTCACCCAGTGCTGCCCGCTTTCGCAGGCCAGCGGGTTGGGCACTAGCAACCTGAACGGCCTTCTTGGCTTGTAGAGGCTTGGCAGGTACATTCAGTTCATCAACATGGAGCGAGGCCGCCTTCGCGCGGGTTATACGCGCAGCTGCCGAACTGTTCTCGTCATTCTCATTCGTCGCGAGACGCTGTCTAGCAGGACGTCCCTGTATAACGTTAGTATATTCTTCCGACATACACTGTGTGTCCTTTTCGCGCCATTGTTACTCACAGGCGGCATTTTTGCTTGTAATTAAAGGGCGATCTACAGAGAACGTTGTGATGGACTCTGCCAGGTTGTCTCACGCGTTTCTGGAACGGTAGATATGCTGTATGAACATATGTTAGCCAGTGCCGCGTGATTTCCATGTTTGGTATCCATCATGACGAATACAAGGTCGATACGAAACGCGCGACGTACAGACTTCGAATGGAGAGGGGCGCGGATACACGATCGAGGCGATATAGCCAGACCAGTGCTGAGATTGTCAAGGATGCTGAGACGTGATACGTCAAGCCGTGATCTGATGGCAGAACCTTGGCAATGTGTTTTGTTGAGTACGCGTTTGTGGTAGGCGAAGCGCGTGTGAAAAGGAAAGTTGCGGAGCTGGAAAAGAGAGGCAACGAGCCAAAAACGACGAGCGAGCGAGCATGTGCCGACGAGGGTGAACGCCGTGAGAAGGAAAGGAAGAAGAAATAGAGGAGAGTCTAAGAAGAAGAGGCAGAGGAAGAAGAAGAGAAAAGAAATAAAACTAAGACGTAAAGGCTCAGCTCGGTACGGAGAGGACGGACAGAATGTATGTTTTTGGTGCTAGTGGAGTCAGTAAGAAAGGCAGACAGAGATGTCCAAGTATTATTAGGGAGCCGACAAAAATCTGGCACATATGGAATGGTGCGTATGTGATGGAAGCAGGATGATTGAAGTGTTTTTGTTGTGCAACATGGAGTATTTCTGAGCCTGTCGCGTAGGCTCGGGAAAGCGCAAGCACGGTTGTCTCGTGGAGCGTGCCAGGTCACAAATGCTCCACTAGCAATTCGCGTAAGTTGCGTGACCTTGGGAGTTGGGAGGCACGTCCACAATCCACCAGGCTATTTGGGATGGTGCAGAGACACCCCTGGGGCAATAGCGCGACATTGCTCTGTGTTCTCTGGAGCAGCGACGACGAACATAGAAAGTCGTTGCCGGGCCAGGGAGTGTAAAACAACTATTACGGGGCATGCTCATCTGCTGAGAGGACTGCAAATCGCCGAGAGAAAAGATGCCTGCACCGTGACCAATCACCTAACCGCGGACAAGAGGTGCAGGGACAGAATGGGTGGACGGTCGTTCCCGCTTCGAACTAAAGTCCCTAGTCGTAAGATACGGAGAATACGGAGTCCTCTGTACATAGATACATTCGACGAACAACATGTTCAACACAATGTTCATCGTGGATTAACTTTATAATCTCATTAAGCTTGTATCGACATTGTAAAAACTAGACTCTCAAGTTCCTAGACTGTGGGCAAAATCTCATAGAAGAACGACATGAGAGGGAATTGCTTCAGAGGTAGGGGAGAGACCTAGAGGGAGTGATCAGCAAGGGGCTGGCCCAAGTGGACTACTGGAGACCGAAGCAGGTCTTATTACTTCAGAATATTGCAGAGGTGGACATAATTGTGGTGCGTGCCAGCCTACACATAGCACCCTAAGAAAACATCTGTCGCCTGCTTCTGGCGGGACGCGTTTGAAAAGCGGGACATCCAAGGTTGCATCGGCAAGCAACCCACTATCAACAGTGGCAACCGCACAGCAACGACACTTTCATTGGCTGCGTCACTTGTCAATCCGGGCCTAAGTATTGACCTGACAATTGGGTCGTGGCTCGTCGCGTTAGATCCACCGTCTTGATGTGTGGCTGAAGCGGACCGGATTAACCTCTAATGCGGCCGGACTCTTTTTTTTTTTCTGTGACAGGGGATCTAGCCGGCGAGCTGCTGGAACGACGGCCTGTTGTGGCATGCTTATTCGCTCTGAAAGCTTCTCTACACAACGCCACGCCTTTCCCATCACTAAGAGTTAGATGCGGCCGGGTCTCTCTGGTATCTTCTTGTCACCCAAAGAGCCACGGCCGAGTATCATGCTCCAGACCCGGCTCCGGTCTCTCGCCGGCCGCGTCCGCCAGGCCAGTAGCTTGTCTTGCAGCCTCACAAGAAGTCTCACGACGTCGGCCACAGCCGGGACCGCGACCGGACCCGGGCAGCAGGATGTGGCGGGAAGTTCTTTCTCTATACCGGCCGCCCCGGTTGTAGAGAGGACGGCAGCCATTCTTCGAACTTACAAACCGCGGACACCGGGTGTCCGACATCTGAAGCGGCCCATCAACGACCACCTGTGGAAAGGTCGACCTTTTCTACCATTGACGTTTCCCAAGAAGGGACACGGGAAGGGCGGCCGTAACAACCAGGGCAGGATAACGGTACGGCACAGGGGCGGCGGCGTGAAGAGGCGTATCCGCATGGTCGACTTTGAGCGGTGGGCGCCGGGTGCTCACCTTGTCGAGCGCATTGAGCACGACCCGGGACGAAGCGCGCACATTGCTTTACTCACTAACCAAGCTACGGGTCAAAAATCTTACATTGTCGCGGCAGAGGGAATGCGCGCGGGGGATATTGTGCAGAGCTACCGTGAAGGTATCCCACAAGATCTTCTGGACGTCATGGGCGGTGCTGTGGATCCGGGAATCCTTGCTGCGCGGACAGCGCATAGGGGCAACTGTCTCCCCTTGCACATGATTCCCATTGGTACCGTCGTGTACAATGTCGGATCGCAGGCAGACAAAGGCGCCGTCTTCTGCCGCAGCGCCGGTACTTACGCAGTCATCATAAGCAAAGAAGAGATGTCAACAGGTGACAACACCCAAGAAGGTAGCAGTCGTTTTGTGCAGGTGCGGCTACAGAGCGGAGAGGTACGCCGAGTGAGCAGGCACGCGTGTGCAACCATCGGCGTTGCCAGCAATCCGCACCATCAAGACCGCCAGTTGGGCAAGGCCGGCCGCAGCCGCTGGTTAAACATTCGGCCGACGGTGAGGGGCGTGGCGATGAACAGAGGTCAGCCCAGACCCCAAACTCGGCTAACCGGCCCTCGGTTGTAAATGTGCTATTGCTAATATGCTTGTGAGTGTTACAGTTGACCATCCGCACGGTGGCGGTCGCGGCAAGTCAAAGAGTAATCGACACCCCACAAGCCCATGGGGCACACCGGTACGTATCCTTTTACTACTCCCGTTGTGTCTGCCATTCTCCGATCGTGCTGCCGCGTCGAAGTTTCCAACTAACAAAGTGGACAGGCCAAAGGGGGGTACAAGACGAGGCGGACGCATAACATCAACAGATGGGTCATTACGCCTCGCCCAAGAAATATGGGCCGCCGCCGGAGCAAGGGGGGCTCCGAGTAGGGCAGTTGAGAACAGTATAGCAACATTGTTTGAACTTTGCAACAGATTTGGCCTGTTCGTTTTGCGCGATAAATCTTTGTCCGGAGATTTGTATATATTATGTAAGATATTGAGCAAAGACATACCCTCATGGCCACGCGCTCGTGTACGTACAGTTTACCAAAAACATAAATAGGTTATTGAATGACAATGAATACGCGGGCCTTGTTAATAATACATTTAAAGCCTTCTCCATACCAATCGTCGATTGTGTTTGGACTTTTATTGCAAATGTGTTCTCATCCGACAGATCCTCCATGACCAGGTTGAAACCCGCACTAAATACCACCTTGTAAATCGAGATTTTTTTTTGTAGCCGCACGCTGTCTGTCTTACCGAGCTACTTGGTGATGTTAACCTATTAGATGCACTGCCAGCAACTTTTTTTGCGCCATATATCAAAAGTAGAATTCATACGGAGCAAACTAAAAACAAGTTCTGGGCGTCCCACTGGAAAAATGAACAGTTTTCGCGCTAGAGGGATATGTGTACTACAAAGTCCCTTCTTCTGCGCAAAGTAAACAGTGGGGATTTTGCAGGGGCCTATGCAAAGCCGGGACTCAGCCGCGCTAGGTTGATCCAGACCATGAGACCATCTTCCCATCCTGCCGCCTGTTCAAGAGTGACCAAGCCGTCGAGCATCACGCTCTTCATTTCCACATTCGAAATACGTCGGAATAAAGCGCATCGTAATTCTTCTTGCATATATAAATACTCATAATACACCTAATTATTACATTCCATCACGCGCTAGAAAGTGGCTCGTACGCCGTCCAGTTTCATTTCACACCGAACATCACGGAACCTATAGTGACTTCAGCTCTCTCCACACGCCGTGTCGCCGTCTTCTTATATATACTGAACACATTGTACGCTTTCTTCTTTTCTTACTGTTTTTTATTTATTTCCTTGCCCTTTCTCTCTCAAATCATCATCCCTGATTCATATTCGCCAAACTCCCCGCCAACCCGACAAAGCTCGCCCGAGGCATCCCATGCCAGACATTAGCGCTGCACCCCTCATCACACGCGCTTCATCGCCATCCCATCCATATCCCCAAACGGGCACGCATTATCCGGGCCAAAGCCCGGTGCCAGGTGTCCAAATGGCCAACTCCAACCGGTGGGGGCCACGCGCGCGGCACGCTTCCGCATGGGTTGTCGCATCTGGCATTGTCGACTGGCTTCTCGTCGTGGCCACAGCCATTGGTGGCTTCTACCTTGGCAACATTACGCCCACCAAGAGACCCTTCCAACTTGAAAACCCGGATATTTCGTGAGTGCCCTCTTCTATCCATCGGGCCCTGTTTGACTTCATAACTGCTCGCCACTCATGTTCACTGGCTCATTGGCTCAGGTTTCCATATACGATCCATGAAACTGTCAGCACACGAAATCTAGTCATTGCCACAGTCGTTGCCCCTGTGGCCACAATTATCGTCGTGTCGCTTATCTCAATCCCTGGCTTATCTGTCGCCCCAGGCACGCCGCGTGCCCTCTTGTGGCGACGCAAATTATGGGAGCTATATGCCTCGTTGCTCTCATATGCTCTGGGCATGGCAGCACAGTGGTTTATTATCAACGGGTTGAAAAACATATGCGGCAAGCCACGGCCAGATATGCTCGCTCGCTGCCAGCCAGACATTCTGAACGTGGCGCAGTACGTCGTGGGTGGTATTGCAAACATAACTTCTAATGGCCAGCTGGTCAGCGCCGATATATGCACCAACAAGGACGCGTCTGTTTTGAATGACGGCTTTCGCAGTTACCCGTCTGGCCACAGCTCTTCCTCGGCGGCTGGCTTGGGATATGTCGCGCTTTTTCTAGCCTTTAAATTCGGCGTCGTCTTCCCATTTGCTAGTCTACCGGCCGATAGAGAGACTTCAGCTCTTGTCGCGTCAGCATTTCCAAGCCGTAGTCCCTTTGTAAGCCTCCAACAGGACATGTACGAGCTCCACGACACCGGCCGCCTCGGTCTCCTCGATGGCCACTCTCCCATATCCGGACATACTCGGACCCGCAAAGATGACAACCGCCAACTTCGCGCTTCGCCAAATGGTACAATGCTGTCTACAAGGCGGTCCGGAGCTGCCCCGCCACTCTATCTTCTTGTGGTTGCACTTGTCCCATTTTTCGCATCCATATTTATTGCTGCCTCTCGCTGGTTCGACTTTAGGCACCACGGCTTTGACATCTTATTCGGGTATGCAATTGGCACTGTGACAACACTGGTTGCGTTCCGCATGTACCATCTTCCATTGAGTCGAGGAGCTGGCTGGGCCTGGGGCCCCCGAAGTGCCGACAAAGCTTTCTGGGCCGGCGTCGGAAGCAACAGCTGGGCGGTACCTTGGGAGCATTTGGCCGCACGTACGCATGGTGCCGAAAGCGACTACGAATCGACGGTACCTCATAATAGTGGATTATCCGAAGCTCCCCTGTCACGAAGAGATACTGCCTCGCGCAGAAGGGCAGCCCGTGGGGCAGCTAGTAACGGTGGCCTTGGTGACGACCTGGGAAACGCGGTCTAACCATGGCAAATCACTTGCCTTGTTTTGTTCGTCGTTCTATGAGAAGGGAAGGCATTGACTTGGCATGTGCAAGTGGCCACTTCATTCAACCTCGAAGAGCCATTGTTAGTATCGCAATGATAAATCACGGTGGAAAATACTCGGGCATTTCAATAGTTAATAGAAACATCAGTGCCGACACCCATCCGTCGAAGGTCCGGTAGCACATTACTAGCAACGTAAAAGAACACAATGGAGATGGAAGTTCTACGCTAAATACAACAAAACAAAACCCATGTCGACCAAGTGCATCTTCACCGAAATACATCCATACGCCCAGTACTTCCAACAGATAAGCGACAGCAAAACGACAAAGAAACAAATTAGTGGGCAGCAATATCTACTGTTCAATCATATTACCATGGCACCCGTGTTGGATACATGATGGTCTCGGTTATCGCGTGACTGGTCGTCTTCCTCTTCCTCCACCTCATCTTCATTACCTTCGTATTCGTCATCCTTGAAACCACTCTCGATTTCTTGTCTTCGAAGTCTCCGCCTCATGTCGTCCCTCATAGTATTTTGCCACCGAATAAGGGCAGCAGAAGCGTGCACCTTGAAGCCATACACCCGAGGTATGTACCGTTCGGCTGTCTTAGGGGGGATTAGAGCAGGGTAGACTTGAAAAAGAATGTTGTGGAAGGAGGTCCCAAAATAGGCACCGTCGATAACGGCATGGCGAGTTGATTTCGGATTGTATATATCTTCGCACCGACCACAGTACAGCTTGACGGGCCGCACGTTTGGGATATCCGATAAGCCCATGGGGAGGAGTGGATGGGAGTGGCAATTGACACGAGGGCATTTCCCGAAATCCGACTTTTTGTATTTTTCCAGCTATAACGAAGCGAAAAAAGGAAAGAAAGCGGATAAGGTTAGCCACGTTCCTGAGCACGCAATGCATCGAGATGCTATAAATTGGCATAAAAACACGATGAAAAGAATAGAGGGTGTAAATGAAGCACCGAATCAAAAGGTAGGCAGGAGAAGGAAACAGCAAATACCATTTTAGCAAGACCCCGGGTTGTCACAATATAGCGCGCGTGGACGAGGCCGTAGAGGTGCCGAGCAGATTTTTCGATGGTTTCACGCATTTCGTCATCACAGTCGAGGTCAAAAACGTCGGTAACGAGGTCGAGCGCATATTGGTAGTATTGCACTTCTGTGTTCAGCCCCGTCAGGTTGAAACGATCTGTGAGATAGTCTTCGTCAATCTCGCAGAAATATTCATTTCCCCGGGACGATATGAACTAGGCTCGGAAGTTAGCAGTTAGCAGGAAGCTACGGTCGTAGTGCAACGCAATGGGCTGAAAGTTGTTCGTGGTGACAGAAAAAGTGACAGGAAGAAGGTCGGCATGCGGAACAACCGCTGCGCCAGCATTAGAAACTGCAAGTTGCAATACGAACCCAATCCCGCCAGTAGCTTGTGTACTCGCTGTCCGTCTCGCTCACAAAGTCGTCCATAGCTGCAGATTAACGAACGACTTTCCGTCCACCTTGTTCTCGAGGCAGTAACGCGGATAGCCCATCAAAGTCATGAGTCTCGAAATTGACGTTCGTGATGTTTGTGGGCGGGGCAAAGAGCTGAGCCATGCTAACCAATGACCCAGATGTGGCGCAGTTTCAGCCACAGCTTTAGGAAAGGTTCTAGTTTCTGAATCCAATATTTAACCACTGCGAATTGGTTCGCTCCTAGTCAAGCGGAAATGGAATATGGACTGTTTCAGACTAAAGCGAGGATGACGAGCTGCAATTGCCTGCTGATAAGTGCACCTTACTAATTTCATCGAAACACGCCACAATTATTTCATACTCTTATTACCCCCTATGATAGCGGCGCAATCTCCCCGATTGTCTAGACCATGCATTATTTTCCTTTCGTTGCTTTCTGCCGTTGACCACTTGTACAATTGTGCCGGCCCTCGTAATGTGTACGTCCGGTTGTATGAAACTCAGGTCATACTTACCACAGCTGCTGCTTCTAGGGATAACAGGAAAGTGGTTACAAATTGGAAGTCACCCTCGTTTCAAGATTTTGTCAGCCAAACGATGAGCGCCTTTAGATGTCAAGTGTTCGGGCCAGCAACATAACCGCGGATGCCCACGTAAGTTTCGCGTACCCCGTTAAAAAAGGTATATTATGGGTGCCGAGGATATAAGAAACAGCAAAGACTAAGAAAAACCTAAAAGTTAGATAGCTGCCCAGTTTCATTTTGCCCGTAGGCTGGATAATTCAAAACGAAGGATCTCATACCTCCGCGATGTAATTACGGCGTGCTTCGTACCAAGAACATTAGCTCATGTAATCATGGGCTGTAGCTGTGTTGCTTGCGTCTTATACCGTATTTATTAACCCGTCTCATTCATATCTACATTGGAGCTCACCATCAAATGTGGTTGCGGCCGTTGTAGCTTCAAGGAAATGAATGGAAATAATGAGCTCTCCGGACAGGAACGATTTCTTCACATGAGGTTACTCTTTTGTAAATAATAAGATATGGCGTGCTCGGTATTAGTCGATTCTGTCTATGCAACTCTACTCTATGCAAGAAATCATGCGTCGCAATGATACTCGCTACTTGCAAGGCAGTCATCGCTACTGCCTAAAAAGCATTTAAGCCCTTACAGCATTCAGCCTTGGTTCTGCGGGGAGTGGTGGCCACTTCCATGATAAGGCGAGGGAAGGGCAGGCAGGCAGACCATCGAGACATCCTTGCTCTGTCTACTGTTGTGATGTCCGGCATGACAACCAAGTGCGCTCCCCTCTCCCCTCTCCCTCGCTTGCTCTACCGTTCTTCACCGTCCTACTTTGTCGCTTTCACCCGCCACACTCCCTTTCTGCCGCGCTCTCATTTTCTTATTTGATACACTTCTTGTATCGCCTCGTCACATTTGACCATAGTAGATATTTCCTGCAAAAGTTGTAGCTAATACTGCCCCCCCCCCCCCCCCCCCGACGGACACCTCTCACTTCTGATGCGCGATGGCTCATTCTTCTACATTCTAAACATAGCCTTCATACCGGCCAGTCCGTAAACCGGTCTTACCCGTGTCCGCCACTATGGTCTCCGCACCTTCACCGGGCCCGTATTCACCGACCGTTAACATTCTGGATACTGAGGCCTTGGCAAACAACCACAGGGTAGGCGGTGCGGTGACACGGAAGATATTTGACTAAATGAGGCCTGTCATCCTGCGCATCCCGTAAGCTCCACTCCTGTGCTGTTACAGGTTTGACGCTCGCAAACAGCAGGTGGTAATCGCACATAATTTACGCGCTCCACCAACGTTCGACGACAGATATGATCGCGTCCCGAATAGGCCTTACGCCGACAAAAGAACGGAATATGAAAGCTCGAGGGTTACCTTTTCCATAACATGCAGACTACGCTGCTGACGCTAATATATCTCCCGTGAACGTCCCGGCTCCAACGCCGGCGGCAGGCCTTCGGCTTCGGCGCCGGTGGAACACCTCATTTCAGCACACGCTCCCCCTTTTAAAACATCTCCAAAAGCAACTACGTCAACCCAAGAACCAGCGGCCGCAACCTGCTCTCGCCGCGTCCGTCTTCTCTCATCCTCTTTTGTTCTGCCCAAGGTCATCATAGCAGCCTTAGGCTCATTCCCTCGCGTGTCCCCTGTGAATGAATACGACTTCTAATGCCCCTGACCAGTCTGAGTACCGCCGTATGATCAGCAATTCAAGCGCCATTCATGGTCTGGGATTCACGGGGCTCACAATGTCAACGAGTCCTGACCATAGAGCAGGAGTGGATTCAGGGCTTCCGGTATTTCATCGTTAAAAGCACCTAGTAAATGTCACAGCTCAACTTGACAACCTGCGCTATAAACTGCAAATACTGCGCAAGTTTTCTGAAGATAATCGTGAGTAGCTACCCAGAGTTATCCCTTTACGTTCCTTCCCTCTTTGTCTCTACCCTTGCCTCAATGGGAATAAAGCATCGAGTGTATCGAGACTGTATGCTCAGATCGAGTTATGCCTGCCCCAACATGTCTCATATTGACCGTACATTGCTTCACTTTGCCTTCATCTTGGTCGCTTATGTGCTTCACCTACCAAGTTATTAGCCCCACGAGAGGCATGAATTGCGTATACGGTCCTTCTCTCTATGAAGCGAAGCCTCTGCTGGCTTCGTCGAGTGTCTGAGAAATATGAATATGTGCTACGATCCAGCCGTACGTGTTTGGAGCCAATGGGAAAGGTTAGCATCAAAACGAGCGGCCACAATCACTGACGATGTGTTGACGAGACCTGCGCCCACTACATCTACGGCTTCCCACAGAAATCCGAGCTTGATCGGCACTCTAGGACACACGCCTTACATGCCAAGCGTAACTCTAGGCTTTCCGGGGGTAGTTGGCTGGTATTCCACTATATTCGGAACCACTGCACGGCCAGTCATCGTCAAGCATGCTGAGCCGCCCCTCGCATACACAACTTCCTGCCGTCGTATCAAGTCGTGGTAACAAAACGACGTTGCCTTCTCGACCAGATTCGATACAGGGTGCAAGTTGGCGCGACTCCTCGGGTACCTTCTCCTTCGCTCCCCAGCTATCAGGTCATGTAAGGAACCAGGACTCGGCGTCTATGAAAGTGAAGGTCGACCCTTTGCTGCCACCTCTTAAACGCAGCCGTGTTGGTCCATCTAGGCTTAGATCGATAGGTGAGCTGTTATTGTTGCGTGCAGCCAACACCTGTCTTCGTTGTAAGACATTAGAGTTGGAGGTATATACGACATGCATTTTGTGGTCTTATACACCCCGAGACCGAGAAACAGAGATTTGGACAAGGGGTACAATGGGCCTGGTACGGACTTCCCTTCGGCCAACCTGTAAAGTTATAACCGCCGTTTTGAAATATGCCGTTCCAAGAATTGCGTCGATAGAAGGCCAACCAGATGATAACAAGTGAGATTTTGGGACTGCTTGCTCCTCTTGCAACCCAACCAACCCAAAGTATGGTGAGCTTGTCTTTTGGAAACCTTTGGATGTCGCCGGGAACCGCTTAGCAACTTTGCCGACATACTTGTTCCAGATGACGCCTCATCAGCCACCCAACAGGCACTATCTTCAGGTCTACCAACATATCTTCCGACTCTGTAGCCATTGCCACGCGGACGAGAAGCTTACTGTGAAAATATATAGCACTCTCACCTTCGGGACTCGTGTCATTGAAATGACCAGCACCAGTATTGATGCTGCTTGCAACCAGCCGTAATGTGGTCGGTACCTCGTACAAATTCTAGCAACTTTCGAAACCGAAACTTAGTGGCCTCCTATCATCCGGAAGCAGACAGTCCGAATCCCAGACATTCCCTCTCTTTACCGATCCAAGTTTCTTCTAAGGAACATCTCGTTCTTTGCATTTCAGCTGCCCGAACCGCCAATTGCGTTTGCTACCTTTTTACTCCTCAGCTCCATACGCGGCATGCGAACAAGGGAGCGCAGTCGCCATAGTGTTGTACGCACCTGCATGATCCAGTATCTCGAGTCACTTGAAGTTCTCATGGCGAAGGAGAACACGGTGAGCACAAAACAGTACCGGGCTGTATTCTTCTCCATGTGCATCTTCAGCGTCGTAGAAGTTGTTCTTGTCAAAATGGCCTCGGTCAGACATCGCGGTATTGAGCCGATGTAAGAGAGACTTGCATCACGTATCTGCGACCACATACACGCTGCATGTAAAGCGTCAGTGACCATATTTAAGAATCGGCTCCCATCACTTCTCAACGATGACAATGAAACCCTTCTGGATGAGGACTGGGAACTCTACAATACCACATCTTTGATTGTCAAGAGGGGTACCTGGAACGACAAGGGCATCCCATCCACGTCCTCATTCTCGATGCCACCAGGCAGCATGGATATCAGCGGCGGTGTTTTGCATGGCTCTGTACGACCGGTCGAGCTTACAATATCCTACAAAGCTTACGGCAGACTATCCTAAAAACGTATTCTCTCGTCATTCTATGCAACCACACGTAGAGAAACACGAGACTCCATACGTTCATATGACTCAACCTCCAGGTGTCTCGCTCTAAGATATTGAAAACAGTTCATGCTACTCTTTTTGTGTTCGGGGTTCCACACTCCCTATATAGGATGAAACGAATAAATCGCCATCCCAGAGATTGCCCGCCGGTCAAGTGTAATGCAGGTCCTGCAACGAGTGTCCCGAAGGGTTTCTCAGTGAGCACCAACTAAAGCGACCTACAGATGCAAGCCACACGAATGTTATAAAGAGGTGGACCTGTACAGAGCCTGAAAACACCTCAGCTGCGGCCTCGTGGCGGCCTGCTATATCCTTATCAAATTGCAAAGTATGCGTGGCAAGGACAAAATACGGCGCCTACTATAACGTAGCAGCACATCTACGCCGAGCTTACTTCGGCCCTTCCAAGATCGAGGGAACAAACAGCGAGTGCCTCCAATAACAGTCCTCCTACATTGAATGCAAGAGGTTGGGCATGCCGCCGAGACGTGGGATGATTTACTCGTTGCTGATGGCGAATTTGAATGCAATTGCATATCTGCCACCGACATACCGCCAAGTTCACACTTTCATCCCTCTCCTCACCGCGACACATCCCAATTTCTCTCTCGACCGCGATATAGCCTCTAGTGGTCGCGATGTACATGTTACGACCACGTGAGGCGTGCCTAGTTTATAGACCGGCCTAGTACGTCCGTCGATTGGTAAGGTCTTGACTCACATCTGCCAGAGTATGATGGGTATGAAAGATGAACATTGTTTATATAAGTGCGCTGGGGAAATGCTTCGCCCAAATGACATAACAAACAAGTATATGCGCCCCCTAAAGACCATGTTGAATGCTCGCCTAAATGCGTATAAACTGACACCTACCGATTGATCGAGAACCACGCCTAGTGTCAGATAGGTACAGTACTTTGTGTAGAAGCCCTGGTCTGCAAACTGCTTGTTGCTACCGAGCTCCCTCCATTGTCTTCTTCGTTTTCCTGCGCCCACCGTCTCTCGCGCAGGGGCATATCAACGCCCGAAGCAGCCCGCTCACCATTGACCTCGGCTTTCCAGGCCCAGTACTCCGACAAGCGGGCCTCTGCATATGTGGCATAATCAAAATCAATGTCTGATATCGTCGCCTGGATAAGTGCCCATATGCCCCAGTAAAAGCCTGGCACGCCGCGAAATACATCGACCTCTTCGAGCATTCTTGCCTTCTCAGTCTCTGGGTGGAAGGGCTCGGAGCCATGGGGCGGTAGCTGTCGTAACTTCGCGTATACGTTAATGTATTCGTCTATGAAGGCACGACGCTGCTCAACAGTCGGTAATACATTCATATTGCAGTCAAAACCACCCCACTCTGCGAAATGGTTCGCAATATCAAACGCGGCTGGGGCGGGAACGGCATATTCGTAGTCTATAAAAGTGACTTCGACAGGTGGCCCATTCGTTGCCTCTGCGCTGGCGGGTAGGATAATGATATTACCACTTAATAAGTCGTTATGCGCAAAAACAAGTCCGTCCTTGCCAAGTCCGGAACGGTGGCTAAGGCTCGCTACCAGGCTTTTGAGTTCCGCTTGTAATACCGCTATACGCTCCCGGCAGACGGCCGTGTCTGCTGGCAATGCAAGTATCCACTTCTGCATAACAGTCCAGATGTTCGGCTCGAGTTTGCCCTGTGCAATGGGCGTACCCGCATTGGGCGAAACAGAGGCGGCCTCGACTGTTGAGCCTAGGACGTCACTGTTTTGTCCACCGTGAGGTTGGCCATTTGAAGGACCGTCACTGATTCTACCATCCACACTGATCGGAGCGGTAATTGCCTGCGGCAGGCATGGGACTGTTGCATGCCATTGTGCCAAACGCCTGGCAATGGCCATTGATATCTCTGGGCGGCGTATATCTTCTGGTCGCGTGACCTCGCCACGGATGAAACGATACAGCATCCCGTTCTCGAATCGCGCAAGGAGGGTCGGGGCAAGTCCATACTGCATGAGAAGCTCATGGTTCTGTGCCTCGCGTTGGCGGTCAATGATCAGGTCGGTGCCATGGCCGTATGCGCGGAGAAGTAGAGCATCTTGGTCGATCGCATCTTGTGAGAGCCCCGGTTTCCGATTGACAGCTTTCAGTAGTGTATTCGTGATTCCATCTGTAAATCTGATGAATTCGACACTTGAACCCGGTAGCTGCCAGTTGGGGCTCAGCGTAAGAACTAACTCGAGAGCAGAGCGTTCGGGGTCATGTGAGTCGTACCTCAGGGGGACGAAGGGCACGTGTCGGTTACAGGGCTCGAAAGCCATCACTTAGGATGTGAAGACTGCCAATATCTGTGGTATCATATGCGATGGTTGGTGGATGACTACTCCTTGTGGTAAGAAGCGTTCTGTCTCGGTTTACTTCGTGGCGGCGGGCATCGTTGTCACATTAAATGTCGGTGATTTGGTGCTGTAATTACGTTTTCGAAGTCCACATACCACTTCGACATAAATAATAAGGGATTGGTTAACAGGGGCTGCTAATAACACACATGTGGCTCCGAGTAGGTTGCACCGGTCCGATACATATGAAATTTCTTACTTAATATAAATAACGGCTTCTGATTGGCTAAAGACCCTGTTATACGCGGGCCCCCTTCACGGGAGCCTGTCACTACGTCTCGTTCTTAACCAGCATAGCCCTCCTACCCTCCTTCGTCGGACATACGGGTGCACCGATAAGGTGAGGGCAAAATCGAAGTAAAAAGTATAACCCTCCCGCTCCGTCGTTAAACGCACGGTTACTCCGATCGGCTCGCTAGGCTAATTCTACCTACTACAACCTACTACCGGGTTTGGTTTGGTTTGGTTTATTTTACCGCCACAGTGCAGGTGATTCTGCCACCCTATTAGGGTATACGGGCGGGCGCTGGGCCTATCTAACTAACTATGGTGCCTGAGGCACCTCCTCGGTGTACGACTACAGCCTCCGTTTACTGAGCTAATTAAACTGTCGTGTGTGGAACACTGTGACGTACTGTGTTTACTAGTTTAGAGTGAGAGGGAATATAGTACGAATAACTATAGGTTAAAACGTTACGGGTCGTTAAAACGGTTAAAAGTAGACCCGAACCTTACCGTTATAAGTTTAAACGTTAAAACGTCCGTTATTATAGGACGTAAAAGTAACGAATATAAAGATATAAAAGTAACGAATATAAAGATATAAAAGAAATATAAAGTTAAATTAATAATAAAAAAAAGAATAAAAAAAAAGATTAATAACGAGTAAAGGTTTATTTATAAGTAACTTTAACGGTTTTAAGGTTACTCGAAGGGTTACTCGTAACCTTTCGTATTATTAAACGAAAAAGGAGAGTTTAATAATATTAATACCGAACTCTTTATTTTCGACTCGGTATAAACTAGTTAAACTTCGTCGTTTATTCTTTAAATCCTTTAATACTTCCTTTTAAAAGTCGTCGAAGTATAAAAACGAATAACGAGTTTTAAACTTAAAGACCGAACTTCGACGGTTTATACGTTATATAATAAGTCGTTCGTTATAATTAATAAAAACGAGGTATATACGGTTTAATCGTTTTATTATAAAGTGTATAACGTTATTATTTTAAAATTTTAAAAAACGATTAAAAGAATACGAGATATTATAATAACTTTATTAAATAAACTTATCGGACTTAAACGGTGTTTATAACGAAGAGTTAATTAAACTTCCGTTTAAGTTAAAAAAGTCGTAACCTTCGGTTTCGACGGTAGTATATTTATTATAAATAATTATAAAATAAGTCTTTATAATAAATTAGTTAATAAAAAGTATTAGTTTCGAGAACGAAGGTAAGTGTGTATTATAATAAAGACTAATTCTTACCCCTTCTTCCCTTTAAGAAGAAGGGAGTCCTTTTATTTAAAAAGAAAGGTTTTTTACTAACGTAGTATTAACGTGTGGTTAAAGACTAACTACACTACGTTTTATTATATAAACCTAGTCACTTAATTCGTAGTCTTCGATTACGAATCGATTATAATAATTATTCTCTCTTTTTAATAAATTAAACTTTAGTTTTTCTCGTAACTTTCTTTAATCTCTTTACTTTTACTCGGGTAAGGAGTATCGGAAGTTATAGTTAATCTTTTAATTATATACGATAGTTTGTTAATTCGTATACGAGTTACTTTATAATCTTTTATATTATATAATAGTTTAGTTTATCGGTTATCGACGTAATATAAGACTTAAAAGTATTAAATATATTTAAATTATTTATCGTTAAACGTCGATATTTAAATAAATATTCTCGTTTTCGATTAAATACCGTTTAACGTCGTCGTTTTCGTAAAATATATTAATAGTTATATAATAAATAAGTAACGACGAGTATTTACGGATTATTTTTACTTAAAACGTTTATTTATAAATATTACTCTTTTTATAAACGTTATTTACTTTTATTACTCTTTTTTCGTATACGAGTATAAAATTAATTACTCGATTAAACTTTTATTATAACTCGTTTTTACTCTTTTTACTCTTTACTTACTTTTAACTTAACGAACGTTTTTTAAATAAATTATTTTTTACTCGTAAAAGAATCGTAACTCGTTTTCTTTTTTTTCTTTTAATACTTTATAAAATTATCGATTATTTATCGTTTATAAATCGTTAGTTAAACTTTTTAATAACTTTTTTTATTCGTTAATATATTATAGTTTATTTACTTAAAAGTCGTTTTTAATTAGTATTTTTTAATATACCTTTTAAAACTCTTTAACGTTATAAATACGGTAAAGATAAGTCTTTAAACGATATTATAATAAAAATTTTATAATCTTTACCTTTTATCTCCCCGTTTTTACGTAATAACGTAAATAATTCGGATTTAACCGTTTAACGTTTATCGACCGTATTAAACCGTACGTTTATTCGACGTATTATAAACTTACTTCGTCGTTCGTTTACCTTTTTTTATATTAATTAACTTATAGTATCGAAGGTTAAAAAATACACTTACGTTCGTATTATTACTCGACGTATCGACGTTAATTCGTTTATAAGTGTTATAAGTGATTATAAAATAAGTCTTTATAATAAATTAATTAATAAAAAGTATTAGTTTTAAAGACGAAAGTAAGTATATATTATAATAAAGACTAATTCTTACCCTTTTTTTTTAAAAGGAAAAAAAGAGTCCTTTTATTTAAAAAAAAGGCTTTTTATTAACGTAACGTTAACGTATAGTTAAAGACTAGTCACACTACGTTTTATTATATAAACCTAGTTACTTAATTCGTAGTCTTCGGTTACGAATCGATTATAATAATTATCCTTTCTTTTCGATAAACTAAACTTTAATTTTTCTCGTAACTTTTTTTAATCTTTTTACTCTTACTCGAGTAAAGAGTATCGGAAGTTATAGTTAGTCTTTTAGTTATATACGATAGTCCGTTAATTCGTATACGAGTTACTTTATAATCTTTTATATTATATAATAGTCCGGTCCGTCGACTACCGACGTAATACGAGGTTTAAAAGTATTAAACGTATTTAAACTATTTATCGTTAAACGTCGATATTTAAATAAATATTTTTATTTTCGATTAAATATCGTTTAACGTTATCGTTTTCGTAAAGTATATTAATAATTATATAATAAATAAGTAACGGTAAGTATTTACGGGTTATTTTTACCCGAAACGTTTATTCGTAAATATTATTTTTTTTATAAACGTTATTTACTTTTATCGTTCCTTTTTCGTATACGAGTATAAAGTTAATTACTTAGTTAAGTTTTTATTATAACTATTATAAGTGATTATAAAATAAGTCTTTATAATAAATTAGTTAATAAAAAATATTAGTTTCGAGGGCGAAGGTAAGTGTATATTATAATAAAGACTAATTCTTACCCCCTTCTTCCCGGTAAAAAGAAGGGAGTCCTTTTATTTAAAGAGAAAGGTTTTTTACTAACGTAACGTTAACGTATAGTTAAAGACTAGTCACACCGTACCCTATTATATAAGTCTAGTTACTTAATTCGTAACCTTCGGTTACGAATCGGTTATAATAATTATCCTCCCTTTTTAATAAACTAAACTTTAGTTCTTTTTGTAACTTCTTTTAATCTTTTTACTTTTACTCGAGTAAGGAGTATTAGAAGTTATAGTTAATCCTTTAACTATATACGATAGTCCGTTAATTCGTATACGAGTTA